TGCGTACGCTACTGTCGCTACGCCTCTGTTTTGACTTAATTGCTTTATTTATCTCACGAGTGGCGCTTTAGCTTGTTTTTGTATGGATTTTTTTTTTACAATCTTTTATTTAACTCACTTCCTCCATCTGTCGTAAGTCTGTCTGTCTAGATCGGAACGCCCGAGCGAAATTGCAGGCACTTGTACCTGACAGATACAATTCTTAGTTGGTACGTGGGTCAAGACATGAAGACAATGCAACATGACATTAATATTGACTTAATTGGTTGCCTAATTATTTTTTTGTGAATTAAGAGGGGAGGCTCCGGTAAAACTTTTTAAATACTCGTTAGAAAACAGTTATTTCTTTACAGCTTTATTAAAATGTATGCATTTCACTTTAAAAAATTGGTGGAAAAATCTTGGTAACTATGACAACGGCAGCCATCTTGAAAAATTAACCTATCGTAGGATTTCCACCATTCATAAAATATTATATTTTATGCCCAATAAATAATTAGTTCATAATCTTCTTCCATATATTGGGGTACTCAGCTAAAAATTTTAAGTGCGTAACTTCAAAATAGTTTATTATGAATTTTTTAAATTTGTGACCCTTCAAAACACTTAAGTTTAGGGATATTTGGGGCATTAAAACGTGTGTTTTTAATGGACCCACAATTTGAAAATTCATAAAAAAATGAATCCTTAAGATGACACAACATGTTACACTTTTCTTTTCTTCCAAAAAAAATAATATATCACTCTGTTGGATGCCCCCCCCCCCCATGATGTGGATTTCCCCCCTCCCCCCTTCCCACCCTCTATGCCCGCCACTGAATGTATATTTTGTTATACCAAGACAAGTAGGCCTAGCTATACAAAAACTACAACAAGAAAATCAGGACTATTGTTCATCGGGTCACTACCTGTCTATTACAGGCATCCCGTTTGTTCACTACGTTTGTTCTTCATCGGTCCGCATACAATAGGGTATCTCATTAAGTGTTTTCCTAATTCTCCTTCCTGGTCAGGTCGTACCCTGCACACAGCCAGCGAGGTGTGTCACACTAATGTTTTTCTATAATTTACGACCTGTCCCTGTTTAGGTGGGTGATAATTCACTAACGTCAACCGTGGCCTCAGTTATTACTATCAACAACGTCGGCATTCCACCATTTAGTTTTTCCCAAGTGAAATCAGCAACAGTTATTTAAGTTTACAAACTAATTAAGATAGCATGGACGGTGATGAATCGCGGGGTCCCTCCAAACGCGGGGCCTGGGGCGACCGCCCCGTTCGCCACCCCCAAACGCCGGCTCTGATATTATTAGTAATTTTGTGTTTGAATAATTTTAGCCTTAGTAAAACCGAAAGTGATTTTGTACTTATTTCACAAATGTTATAAATATTCAATTTTGGTTGAAAAATATGCTTTCTGGCAACAACCAAGTGGAACCATTTGGAACCACGTTTCTTACCTAAGCCTATTCATTTGATGACAATCAAATAAAATTATCACACATTTAAATTAATAATTAAAATATTTGTATTTATTCGGGTCAAAAAGAAATTACTGGAGAAAGATTTTAAAGAACCGTACATCACGGGAGTGAACTTCCTGTGACGCAGCAACATCAGACATTACAAAATGGCGGCGCTCTTTGGCAACACTGCTTCTTCTCGCAATCAAAGCAAAAATTTAGTAGAGTTCCGTGCAGGAAAGATGCACATGAATGGTAAAATGGTTACGCCTGACAAAAGGAAAGGACTTGTTTATGTCCACCAGTCAGAAGACTCACTAATGCATTTTTGCTGGAAAGACCGTACTACAGGATCAGTCGAAGATGTAATTTAAAATTTTATTTTTAAATACGCGTCTAGTCGAGGCCTACAATTAAAAAAAAACAAAAAACACGACCTTGTAGTTGTAGGGTGTCAGTTGACTGCTGAAATTGAACAAGCGTCTCATTTATTTATATACCTGGCAGTGGCATCACATAGCTAGCTAGTAGTCTGGCGCGTTGCTTAGATGGTAGGGTTGACCTCTGACCCTGAAACGTCACGCGTCGTTTTCTGACTGTTTCTACGTTTATTTTAGGGTTCCCATCCACGACAAATGAAAAAACTGTTTATATCGCAAATTCTCATCATTATTTTAATGCAAATTGCTAATAAAATGGATAATATGCCTTAGAATGCCAGAAAAAATCGCAAGATTCGTGGTTGTAAATAATGAGAGGATTTCTAGTGGAGCACTCTCCATAAAAACTGAACCGCCGCCAAAAACGACCGACTAACGGGGAAAACGGCTCGACTAACGGTACATTAATATATAATTGATATATTTATCATGTATATTTACAGTATTTTTGATTACTTTTTCCAAAATCTCACTCGAGGAAGAGGTACCCACGCTGACATTTCTATCCACTATTTTTAGTATCATGACGTCATTGTTACGCTAGTTACCTCACAGAAACAAGTAGTTTTTGTTTTTTGCGGAATGAACTGTTAAATCTAGTATTTTAATTATAATTCAATTGTAGCATGTGCGGAAAAAGTAAAATTATGGACATTATTATTGTATTAGTAATTTTATTAGTATATTGATTTTTTTTCTTCACTGTGGGCCGACAGTTGCTGCATTCGTGACCGGTGGTTAACCTCGTCAACGCCGTGTGGCCTATTCGTTTATATAATCAGTGATGCTCGTTCAGTGGTCTTATTAGGAGCTAGGCCTAATTACGGGCGATTTTTAGACTTAATTGATCGACCGTTAGCCTTTTTCATTGCTGCGTATTTTAAAAAATGCTCGTTCAGCTGCCTTTTTTTTTTTTTGGCGCTAAATAATCTGTTTACTGGCATTTTAAGCGTTTATTTATTTATTTTTTAAGCTAGACGTAGATCTAGTTAAAAAAATATTTTTTTAATACAGCTGGCTGTCTAGCATGCCTGATATGTGAACTTTAAAAAAAATGACCGAACTTTTAAAAAAAAATGGCAAGAAGTATAATAGGGAAGTAGGTCTGTTTTTCAATTGCTTGAAGAAGGGGGGGGGGGGGGGGAGAGAAGTGAAGACACCGACCATCTCGTGTACGCGTGTTCATTCTATGACGTGTACTATAGGTCACGGTGACCGTGGTGGGATTTTTCATCCACAGGATAGTAAACGTAAGCAAGCAATCACGCGAGTGACGATGTTTGGAGATTTTATTTAAAAAAATAAATAATCACATACGTCATGTTTTCAAGATGAAAAAAAAATGTAATGTAAAAATAATAGACACTAATACGATGTATGAACCTCAGCTGCCACGCTGTTGACTCAATATAATGTGAATTGAGTGTAAAATGCAGGGTTCCCACGCAGCCGGGAAACCGGGAAAAAAACCGGGAATTTCAAGATTTAATTTCCCGGCCGTGAAAACCGGGAATTTCGATGAATAACCGGGAAATATCTTTAAAAACCGGGAAATCTTGCTTCCCATGGTTTTTTCTTTCGGGTGTCGCGAGATTTGAACCGGGTTTAGGCCTATCCAATCGCTAGTCTCGCCACATCTCGTGACCTAGTTTTGGCCTACAAAACTAGTCTCGCCGGTTCTCGTGGTGCCTCTTTACCGTTGATCTGTTTTCCGCCCATCACACATGTGTACATGGTACATCTACTGCTATGCTTGCTTAGGGTTACCCATCATTGGCGTGACGTAATTTTTTTCATTGTTTTTTTTTAGGATTAGTTTAAAATTTAGTTTAGGCACCACGTGATTTTTTTTTAACTTGCCGTAAACTCGCCGTGTAGTCTAGATATTGACCTAAATAAACTGTATTAAAAGGACTAGGATCGCGCGCGAGTACAGTTCTGTTAAATATTATTTTAAGGATAACTGTTCTAGCAGACTATTTAACCAGTGATACTGAATTTGGGAGAAACACAGATAAAAAAAACGAAATTTGCAAAAGCCAGCCTTTCTCGCGTTCATAAGAAAAAAATTAAAGGCTAGTGACGTCACCAACAATGTGAAATGCGTAGATGGGTCAACTACAATTATTTCATGGGAGGGGAGTACCTGGAGTAAATAGGGCCTTCTTGAACTCACTGTGACCCCAAGTAGGCCCACGCGTTCATACCGCAAGGTGGTTGGGGGGGGGGGAGATAAAGTGACGTCATCAGCTATCTCAAATAGTAGTTGACGTATGCTATAGGCCTTCACAATGACCTCTCCACGTTGTCTAGTTGTGGGGAAGGGGGGATGCTATAAAGCATACATATTGATGTATTTACTATTGTCTTAAGTATGGGTCTGCTTGGCTTAGAAGTTGGTTTTTATTTTTACGTTTTTTTTTCTTATTCAAAATACGATTTATTTTATATAAAAAAATGCCACAGGATCTAATTTCAGTTACTCCGGTTGATCTCATTGGGGGTCGTCCATAAATGAAGTCACACTCGTAAGGGGGGGGGGGTCCGTACTTTTGTGACGGTGTGTGATGAGGGGGAGGGGGGGGGGGTGTTCAGATGGTGTGACGTCACACTTTTGAATAATAAAACGGCAATGTTAGAAAACGAGTTTTAGCCGTTCTTTCGCGTTTTAGAAAACTGTTTTAATAAATTCTAATAAGAATTTATTAAAATACTCTGTTGACAGGTTTTAGAAAAAAATATCGATGTTTTAAGAGAAATTCAACTGCAATTTTGAGGGGGGTTGTAGGTTGAGGTGTGACGTCATTTTAGGGGGGGGGGGGTCTGGCTTTTTGTGACGACATGTGACTGGAGGGGAGGTAAAAATCGCCAAAAAAGCGTGACGTCATTTATGGATGACCCCTTGTCTATCAAACTAAAATGTTTAAGTTAATATTAGGCTTGTTTAAGTTTTAAAAATACGGGTACCTCTAAGAAACTACATAAACAATAAGTTGAAAACAGTGCGAATGTTCATTTTAGTTTAAGTTCAATTTTGAAAAAAAAAACGAATTTTTATTTTTGTGAGCTTTAAAAAAAACTTTCAGTATTATTTCATAGTAACAAAAACTTCTTTTATTTTAGATATTGACTTTACTAAGGTATTCATTAGTACCATAGTAGCAGTGAGAGATATTTTTCAAACGTCTTGTCTTTAAGCAAATTATTTGCTGTTTACAGTTTGTTGGTTGATTGAGTAACTACACACTTTTGGCTGACTACTTTATTGAACACAATATAGGAAGTGCTAACATTAAATAGGCCTACTTAGATATGTTACTAACCGCAGTGTACATTTCTACAACATTTTAGATAAGGTTTTAAATTGTGACTACTATTAACTTAACTTATTAATTGTATTATCATAAACAGTTGTTTTGTATTGGGGGAGGTTCTAGAAATGTAATTATTACATTATAATGATTATGGGATCAAGATGGGTCTACTATTTTAAACTATTTTTGTTACATGCACAATCCTTTAAATATAAATTTTTTTTAAAGATTGTTATAAAGTTAAAATCACGAAAGGAATTCTTTTTAAAAAATATAACATGATATTATTAATATGAATCAAATGTTTCGAAAAGTAAGTATTGTCAAATTTTATTTTTGAAAATTTCTGACGCAACATCAAGTTTCACAGTTTAAAAATTTCAGTTTTGGGATTTAATTTTAGGATATGATTCACTTTAAAGTAGCTAGGCCAATGCAAAAATTTAAATTCAGTAAAACAATATAATAGTTACATATTTAGATAGGGGCTGTCAATCTGATTACAGATCAGTTTGAATTTTCAAAATCTGACCATAAACAAAAAAGTTATGATTTTTTTTGTCATTAAAAAACAGCAGTTTTTTCAGACAACCGGGGTAGACCCTGAAAGAGGAAAAATACTGGGAGGGTATGGACCAAATTTTTAAGAGTTTTTCACTAAAAGTGGTATAAAAGTAAGCAGACTTCACCAATTGATGTCATTTTATGATATTTTGTAGATTTTTGTATGCCGAATCCAATGATGCTATTTTAAAAAGTGTCTTTTGATTACATAACAGACTTATTTCATGGATTATGTAATACCCCCCTTCAATTTTTTTTACAACATCTGATAATCCGTGTGATAAGAAGTCATTCTTTAAATTAAACACTGTTTTAAACCATAATATGACATTTGTATATGCTGAAGCTAATGGTGATATTTAAAAATGGTCGAACATTATTACAAAACTATAAAGGTCAGGTTATGTAATTCGCACCTTTAGCTCATAATTTACCATGTATTTATTTTAAAATCTCTTTTGCTCATTGTCAGTTAACTTAAGTGAATAGCCTACTTAAAGAAAAGATAACAAATACAGTTTTAATACAAAGAGAAGGATGCTATAACAATAGTATATTTGTGATGATGTAACGTCTTAAAATATGTTATGTAATCTATGTGCAATCCTATAAGCCTACTCTATTCCAAAAATATAGGCATATCTTATTATATGTATATTTCTTGTTACTTTAAATGTCATACCATTGATACAACTTTCTTCTATAGAATTAGCCTAGTTACAAATGTGTCTTATCAGAATCAGTGTGCTTTATGACAATTTTGTAATATTTTTAAACACAAAAAAATTGCTCATTTTTACAATTTTAATAACATAAACATTGGAGGAAAATTGTTTTTTTTTTTAGAATGTACAAGGTAGTGTAAGTTATAGGTCTATATTAGTCTATAACATAGATTTATATATGTTTATGCTAGTTGTAAGCTTGTGTATTTTGTGTGCTTGACTGTGTGTAGTCAGAGTTTCTTGCAGGCATCTCTTCGGGGGGGGGGGGGGGCTTTGCCCCCCCCCCCCCCCCCCCCGAAAATTTTTTACCGCCCCCCCCCGAACGAAATGAAATTTACATAATTTATATAGAAAATATATACTTTTAACAGTGTCCGCCCCCCCGAAGAAAGTTTACCGCCCCCCCCCGAAGATTTCAAGTGCCCCCCCCCCCCGGAGAAAAAAGTCTGGAAGAAACACTGTGTGTAGTAGATGCTAGGCATTTTTTAAGTTTCCGGGGGCGTTTATCACCATCAGCATTTGCCTAGATTTAGTGAAATCAGACGTGGTTAACCAGGTTTTCTGACCAACGAATTTTATTGCCGTATTACGTAAACACGAGGCAAGATAGGCTAGTCGGCCAACCCGATAAACGTGTCAGACGAATATTATGTAATTTTAGAGACAAAAGTCTGGGAAGATTTCCTAATCTATGCCCGAGGGTTAGTAACATCCACTCCACAAAGTGAAGGGGGAGGGAGGTGGGGTATGAAACCACCGCGAGCCGCTCGGGTACCGTACGGGTGTTATACAACATCAAAGGCGCCGACCCTCGGCTTGTCGCGTCACGGAGTAGTGGGGACGGGGTGAGGCTATGGATGTTACATACGGTGTTACAATAGTTACATACCGTGTAGGATGGTCAGTGACTCCCCATACCCACCCCATCCCATTTTGGTCGATTTGGCAAGCTAGTAACCTCCACGTTGTTAAGGGTTTTAAAATTTTTTAGTCAACCGAAAAAAAAGAGCCCGGGGTAAAATTTAATTTATTTTTTAAAGCCATTTTTACGAAAAAGTAATGTACACAATAATGAAACGTTACGGCACGCGAATCACGTCAGCATTGTTTGGTCGGGTCGCAGCTATCCGGATTAATTTCTAAAGAAGATTAATTTTGACGATAAGTAAATACTATTACGACTTTTTTTTTGCCGTTTCAATGGTTTAAAACAAAGTTATGAAACATGCCTGTCTACGTAAATATAAAATAGCAATACCCGACGAGTCAAATACGGGAACACACGTATCTATCTTTAGAAATTGTTTATAGTCTCATCCAATCGGATCAACCGCCTAGCGTCACGTGACCACACACTCGGCTGTGCTACACGATGTGTAGATCACGATTCAGTTGGACGGCGGCCGACGCGTTAATTTTTATTTTCGTTCGGTTTTAAAATGTATGGACGGCTTTATTATGAGGTGTTATAATACATGTCATACATTAAAATAATCGGCGGGATTTAAGGAATACAGCTCAAGGTTCAAATGTAAAATAGGTCAAATAATAGACCGGGAAACTTAGTTCAACTTTGCGGTCCGATATCTCCCGAAGTACTTAACTTATTTTGACCACGAACCTTGAGCGTTGTACGTCTACATTTAATCTGTTCGTCTGCCAAATTTGATTGTTGCAGTACGTAAACTCGATACGTCTATAAAAAAAAATTGTAGCGCGTCATATTTAAAACTCAGCGATTCGAAGCACAGCCGAGCGGTTCAGTCGGACAGCGGTCGGCGCGTCATGTTTTGATTTTCGGTCCACTTCAAAGTCTATAGACGTCCTTATTATAGGGCCTAATATGACATATCATACATATTAATAAACGTCGAGATTTCAGGAATACAGCTCAAGGTTCAAATTAAAAATCGGTTCATTAATAGCCCAAATAACTTAGTTCAACTTTGCCGTTCGATATCTCCAAAAGTATTTAACATATTTTCCCCAAGAACCTTGAGCGTTATACGTGAACATTTAATCTATTCTTCTACCAAGCTTCACTGTTGTAGTACGAAAACTCAAAGAGTCTATAGACTCTAAGTAACACCCCTCTTTTAAAAAGGTGAAAAAGCCTCCCCCCTAATCGGCACGTCGCCGCGGGGGGTAAAAAATGCGATTAAATCGGCGATTTCTTCAACGTCTGAAATAATAAAGAAATCAAACTAATACAGTTAAAAAGGTTGTTCAATTACGAACAGAATGATGTATAACATGTTAGCATAAACACAATAAAAGCATGAAAAAAACAGTTAAACATGCAGGGGGTAGGGAAAAGCCGATTTGTCCGATTTTCTCGGCAGCGGCATTGGCCTAGCTATTTAAAGAATGAGTGCCACCCCTAAAAAATGTCTGCTTTTTTGTGGTTTAATAACATTTAAATTGACAAGTTCAATGGTTATGCGCGTTTAAATTTATATGTAAAATAGCAGGGAATTTATACTTGAAATAGCAGGGAATTCCTTGGAATAGCAGGGAATTTTCTGGTAAAAAAATTGTGGGAACCCTGAAAATGTATTTGTATTTATAAACTATTATAACTATTACTATCATATTATTTTAAGCATATTTACTATTTAAAATTAGAATTTGAAATAAAAATATTTATTATGGTCATTTGATTTATGCAGGTGTTCATTACTTCTTAAATTGGTATGAATATCATGTGGAGTAGAATTTAATAAATAATGAAATAACTAAATCTAGTTTGATTATCAACGAGTTGCTTTTTGTTATTTTCCGGTGAGTAAATTACCTAAGCTGACGCAATTACCATGGCGGGAATTAAAAGCTCGTGTACCCAAGTCCACGACGTCATGTTATGCCGGTCGAGGGCCAAGAACGCTGTTTTGTCATTCATTTTCCATTTTTGATCAATTTTCAAATTCTCTCTTTTCTCTTCAACCGAGTAAGCTAGATATTTAAATGTGGTGTCAAATGTTCTCTTAAGGGGTAAGGAAGTTAATGGTGTATTTGAAATAACAGAATATTTTATTTAAAAAAATCCATAATTCAACCTACTAGCTAGTCTCGTAATAACAGTCATAACGTGAGTTGAATTACCTCCCCTGACCCGTTTTTTTATGACCACATTTTAGTTCGTTTTATTTTCAACTTTGTCTCGGCACTGTTGCTAAAAATAGTATTTGCGCAATGCCATACGGGTAACTCTGTTTGGCGTCTGCTTCATGTGATAGATCATTGAATGGCCAACAACAAGCTGATATTCAGTGATATAAAAATTATTGCGACTAGATGCGATTTACGTGGAAGCTGAGCTAGATTTAGCAAAAGACAGCTACAGTAACTTACTGAAGCCCGAACACTCCGTAGGAGCGAACACCTTGCTGGTTTTCTGTCAATATAATCATTTTTTCAATGTTTACACTGAACTACCGCAAACTGCACTGCGCATGTCCATTTTTAAAAACCTGACCCCTATTTGGTTGATCACTAGTGAGGAACACTGATGCATAGTCAATTAAAAAGTTGAAACTATTTGTGGTTTGCCATTGCTTAATTAAGCGTATAGGTCTATGTTTAGCTTTGGTGTCACTGCCTGTCACAGATTGCACCCTGTCAGATTTAATCCCACCCTAAAGAAATATTTCTGAACATAACTGCTGTAATTTGATTTTTAGTTGAATTGGAAGATTGCACCCTGTCAGATTTAATCCCACCCTAAAGAAATATTTCTGAACATAACTGCAGTAATTTGATTTTAAGTTGGAATTGGAAGAATTTTTAAAGTTTGTGGATATAAAATGTTATAAATTTTTTTTTTTATAGGCCTTTGTGTATATATCTTTTTTCTTTTATTTTTTCTCTAGGATTTAATTATCTTTCCTGATGATATTGAGTTCAAGCATGTAAGCCAGTGCACAACAGGAAGAGTGTATGTCCTCAAGTTTAAATCATCATCTAGAAAATTCTTCTTCTGGCTTCAGGTCAAAGCTTTTTTCAAGTATAAGTAACCGAATATATGCAGACTTAAATGTTTTTAATTAGGCTAATCTCTTTGACTTTGAAATGTAACTTAAATTTTCATTTCTCATAGGTCGTACTTAACTTTTGAATCTGTGATAAAATATAGGGAGTTTTTTCTTACTTATTAACAATAGTTGAAATTTTCAGGAACCAAAGTCAGACAAAGACGAGGACAACTGCAAGAAAGTCAATGACTTCCTAAATAATCCACCAACACCTGGTTCGTCTAGGGGTGGGGGCGGTGGTGGTGTTTTACCATCTGACCTGTCCAGTCTGGGTATGTAACAACTACCAACAGCCATATTTGAGGTCTTGTGTATATCCCCTGTGTTTTAACAATGAAAAGTTTACATATCTAACTTGCATGTTCTTTATCCAGGTGAACAGGACCTTCAAAGTATCCTGGGTGGCATGAGTCAACAGCAGCTGATGCAGCTACTTGGTAAAGATGCAGTTTTGAATTATTATTTACTGCATTATGTTAGTCATTTCTCCTTGCTGTGGGTGGGTACATTGTAAAGATAAATTTCTTGAGCAAATATTTCTGTGGGCTTTTTTTGTTGTGATGATAAAAGAATCATGCTGTAATTTTGTAGGTGGCATTGGTATGGGAGGATCCTCAAGTCCTGGTGTGCTGGGCTCTTTGATTGGCCGTCCTAGCAGTGCTCAGTCCACTGCATCTGAGCCGTAAGTCGTTACTTAATTCATTGTCATGCTACTCTGTAAGTAATTATGTCAAATATTGACTTTCTGCCGCTGTAGTGTCCATCTTTGTTTTTAACTACCTTTTTAGATACTGTAATTATGAAGCAAGTTAGTGTAAGAAGTTTTTTAACATGTGTTTGATTTAGATCAGTGAGAGATTTATCAAGTCATATCCTCCCTCTTTTTATGAAACTACTAGATTTAGTTGATTTCACTGTTTAGGCTGATCTATGATGTTTTTTTAGTATTAAAAAATGCTGGCATGGACTATTTTACTCCCAAACATAGAAATTTTTAAAAGTTTGTTAGGTAACTTTAAAAAATAATATTAATGTGTTAACAGTGATTAATACAGAGGAATCTACAGTTATAAAGCATTCTATCTTACAGACCTCTGAGAAGTCAGTCATCTGCTGCAAGGGCTACAACTGCAGACACCACACCATCCCAGCCACGCCCTGTCACTGCTGCCGCCCTCCCCTCCCAGTCAACTGCAGGTGATGCCACTCGAGCCGCCCCTCAAGGAGCCAGCAGCGCTGCAGCAGCAGCAGCCGTTTCCTCTGGAGCCAGTGCTCAGATTCAGCTCAGTGACTTACAGAACATCCTCTCTACTATGAATGGTGATTTAAGCTCTCACTACTTTCTTCTTATTCCTGCTTCTCTAGTTTATCATTTCAAATAAATTCAATGTATTAAAACTCCATTGTTATAAAGTTAAGTTGCTATATAATAATGTAAAGAAAGTTAACATATAACTGGAAAAAAAATAATTACAAAATAGTCAATTGTTTGCCTTTTGTTTCAGTTCCCTCAGGGGGTGCTGCTAAAGAAGGTAATGACATGTTTTTTTGTTTTCTTAGATCAATCAGACAAAACCTTTTTTTTTAAGTTGTTGTGAGGATTGTAATGTTATTTCCTACTTTTAAAATCATTTTGCTCTTAATCTATATATATAATTCTCTTCTGGGAGACACTATAAAACAAGCTGCAAGAGCATCCTTGCAGTCCCCTCTCTTTCTCTCTATCACTGTCACTACCACCCCCACCCCACCCCCACATGGTCTGGTGAGCTGTGGTCACGCTAAATGTTTACAAATCCTAGAGCCGGCTTTAGTGACGTCTATTAAGGGCAGATAATTTAGTTTGAAACGATTTTAAACTTACAGGAGGTAACTAAGAGGAGGCTGCTTTCACGGGTGTGGGGGGGGGGGGGTAGGGTTAGGGGAAGGGGGGTTAGGGGAAGGGGGGGTAGTGTTTTAAAGCAAATATTTTCAGTGGCAGCATTGGTACTGTCAAATTCACAAATTATGAATTACTGAAAAGTAGAAAATAAAACAACTAAATAGCGGCGTATTATACGCCGCGGGTCGGCTTATATTTTGTAATACACTGAGACATCTAGTTATATTTAATGATTTGTTGCTTTTAAGGAAGACGTTTTTATATTTTAAAAAAAAAACATTTTTTAACCAGTTACTGAAAACATTTTTTAACCAGTTACTGAAAACATTTTTACTTGCCAGTAATATTTTTTAAACACCATGGCTTAACAATTATTTAAAGAAATCACATCACTATATATAACTTGAAATATAATTGAAGTCAGATTCATGAGCAGAAACAATTTAATTAGAATTAATTTCACTAAGTATCCTAGATAAGAATCATAGAAAATTAAAAGCAAGTAACGAAACAAGAAAAGCATGAAAAATCAAGTTCTGTATATTCTACCTCGGCTAAGTTCAAATGAATGTACTATGCATTGTTCTGCTGCATAGGACAGTACCTTTAAAGTAAATCTTGGTTACATCAGACAGTAGTGAAGGGTTAAACGAATAGTCTACAAATGTTTTCAAGTGATAATTAAATGAAAATCAATTTGTTTCTTTAAAGAGGTATTTGTTATTTAGTGCTGATTTAACTGTTTGATAATTGTCTTTAGGTGTGGACTTGGCCAAAGCTCTGAGTCCTGAAGCCATGATCCCCATCTTGGCAAACCATGAAGTTCAGGAGAGGCTCATCCCATTTTTACCTGAGGGGGAGTCCCTGCCTAAGACGGAGGAAGAACTGCGCAATACTGTCCAGTCTCCTCAGTTTCAGCAGGTGAGTTACCTAAGCTACTGCCTGTTCCTTGCATTAGTGTATCACTTGTTTTGTTACTAAATTGTTCCTTCAACTACTTCTTTCTAACGCTGTTTACTTAATTAGTATCTCACCAGCTCAGTAAAGGGGAACAACCAAAAATACATTGAATACAAAACAAGCCAAAATGAGTAACTTGGGGGAAAAGAAACAAATATTTAAATATTACAGATTTAAACATTTGTGTGAGTTTATTCTTTTTTATGCCTGTCATTTAACAGGCTTTGCTGCTTGTTGCTAATAATTTAGCTTCCTAATTTCAGGCCCTGAGCTCCTTTAGCTCAGCTCTTCAGTCGGGTCAGCTGGGCCCTCTGATGTCACAGTTCGGTCTAGGCGAGGATGTGGCTAATGCTGCTGCCCAGGGGGGTAAGTTGGCTCGTCATTCACTAGTGCACAAATGCTAACAGTTTATTTTTTTTAAATCACTAACTTTGACTTTAATTAAAAACTAACCATTGTATTGAATCAGGTACTTAAAAATATTAACTTTTAAAATTGTTAGTTTTAAGTTCTATTATTATAGTTAAATAATTGCATAAACTAAGAAACCACTGTTCACAGACATGGAAGCATTTGTTAAAGCTATGCAAGAAGCCACCAAGAAGAAAGATGACTCCATGGAGCATTAGCTTAGTCCTGGCACTCTGAACAAGGACAGTCACTCTCACAATAGCAAGCAGTGTTTGATAGACAGCATCACAAGTTTATTGAAAGAGAATGGAACCAATAGGGACACTTTGGAAGATAGTGAAGTCAGTTTAAAAAATGTAGATTCCCAACCGCAGTTTGCCAGCAGCCATGATTTTGTCAATGTTTTAAGAATTATTTCTGGTGCTAATTTAGACCTAGAATTAAGAATGGCACCCAGTTCATTAGAGAATGAAGATTTTTTTCCTCCATCCCCAATTGTTTGGCTTGATGATGAGTTGCCGCTGGTTGATGATGAGCTGTTGCAGCTGGTTGATGATGCCCTTGAGCCTCACTACAGAGCTCCGCCTTCTTTTGGTGATAGTGTTTCCCCGTGTGTTGATTCAGATCAGAGAGATGAGCTTCACCATGAAAGGTGTGATGAAAATTTGAATGATGGATGTGACTCCAATGAAGATTTGAGAAGCCCTTGTTGTGATGTTGAAAGTATTGATCAGCTGAAAACAGAACTAGCAGATGTTGTTCATTTGGAGTCTAAAACTGATACGAATGAGGATGACCGCTTGACTTGTGCTAACATGGTAGGCTTTGATCACCTAGAACCTGCGGTCAGTGGCACCAAACTCTCAGACCAACAGACACCACAACCAAGCCCCATACAGGGAACTGGTATTTCCCTGGTGTGTGATGAAGACGGGGATTCTGATAGCTCAGATGGTGAAAGCATTGAGAGTTGTAAGCCAAACAGCCAACACCTTGAGATACAGTCAGTGGATGGAATCAACGTAGTTAAAGATGGTTATGTGGATGGGATTGTATCTGTTAATGGAGAAGACAGTCTGGTGGATGTGCAACAAATATCCCACAGTGGCAAGGAGGAATCTGCTGGGTATGTAAACCATGCATTTCATCATGATGACACCAGGCATGCAGGGGCCAGCCAGCTTGAGGGGGACAATGAGGTAGAGAATGAACAGGTCTACAACTACAACTCTGATCTGCCTCCAGTGGAGATTGATGAGGGCAGCAGTGACTGGGGGGACACTAATGAAGATTTTAGAGACATGAATGTCCTGGATGGTAACACCCAAGAGATTGACTCACTCATGCGTGATGACATCAATGCTGAGTGCTATGAAGGAGATGCTAACGACACAGAAGATGAAAACAAAGATAGGCTTCATGTGTATGAGAATATAGCAGCATTTGATCATCTCAGCAACGAAGTTACGGAGACTTCGAAGTTCAACACAGAGAACAAACACAATTCGGTATTAAGTTTAGAAAACAAAATAGAACCTGAAATAATCAATGAGCATGATCATTCAAATAGGTTAGAGAAAGAAATTAAAGTTAGTTCCCCTTGCTTCATCGTTGGTGACTCATCCTGTCAGGTGTTGACCTCGGAGCAAGAAACAAATGTGGGCGCCAGTCAAGTTGGTCATCTGGAAACCCTGCTGAGCCTTGTCCATGCTAGTGTAGTGCCTGAGGAGGGCAGCAGTACTGACCCTGTGACACCCCTTCCCAAACTTGGAGCTAACAAGTGTGTGGTTAGTGAAGAGATGTCCGGCACCAACAACTTCTTGTATAAAGATGAAATTTACACCATAGATGACAGCTCTGAAGACTCTGATGAACCAAATTATGACACGATATACTCACCTAAACCAAACATTGGTGACCTAGCTGTGGCAAGCAAATATCCAGAGCAGAATTCTGACTCCATTTATTTGGAAGGTGAGATCACCCCAATGGATTATGGTCTAGAACGTAAACTTTCCAAGCAAGATATTTCAATGAAGCAAGCCTTCTCAGCAGGAGAGAGTGGCAATTCATCCTTTTTGTGTGACATCTATCTACCCCATGACTCACTGGACTTGCTGCCGTGTGCAGATCCTGAACAAAGTTTCCAAGAAAATTTTCCTACTGCTGAAAACATCAAAACTTGCCACAGTGTGGATCCTGTTAATAGGCCAACTGTAAAAAACAAAGATGAACTCCAACCTGTGAGCCCCTTAAATGAACTTGGCTCCAGGTCTACTAGTTGTCCGCCTGTTGTACATCATAGAGATAACTCTTTGATTGAACCCCAATCTGCTTCTACCAGTAGCCCAGTAGACATAATTGAGCCTCCATTGGAAAGACCTAGCTCTGCTAGTTCACACAGAAGGCAGAAGCAGAGTGAGCGCTCATTATCCAGCTTCTCTAGCAGCTATAGCCACAACAGGATCATCTCCAACATCCATGTAGACTTCCCATCCCAGGCTATAGAGGTGGACATTGCTGTCCAGCAGACTGGCTTCACTGGAAACAGCACAGAGCTCACTGAGGTATCCTTTAGCCAGGACATGTCACAGCCTGGGCCATCTCACAGTGGACACGATGTCATGTCTGAGGAGAGCGTGGGCCGCATCCATTTCAGGAGCAGCCACCAAGTGGAGCCCAATGACCTCATGACCTTTGCTCTCAGTTTGATGGACATGCTTTTCTGGATCTGCCTGGCTGTGGGGATAATCATTTATGAAATCTGCAAATGTCGCTAGCTTAGGCAGTGGGTGACTAGTCATTTAATTCTCTGGCACCTTTTAAGATTTAATGTTTGTCATCAAGGCAAGACTATAAGGAATGAGGCAGTTGTGGGATGGAAGAAATAATCTTCAGCTATTGATATTGTGTAAAGCAGTTTTTTATTCTTACTTAGGAAATAACTCATGTTTGTCATTTGGTGCTGCATCTCAATGTTTCTCTGCTTGAATTTTGTCCTGTTCAGTGAGTTCATCATCTGTCTTACAATTTACTTGCATTTACTCATTACATTTTATAACTATCGATTCATCTAGTTTTTTGTGTAGTTCATAGGGGTTAAAAATAATCAGATTTTAGCGAGTACCTGACAATATACTAACCAATACCAAAAATAATACAAATTGTTTTCATTTGTCTTCTAAATCTGCTAAATCCATAATGCTACATTTTGGATGATTAAAATTTTGCCTCTGCTATTGGCTGATGTCTGTTTCTTTATGTTCTGTTCTTTTTTAAGTTATGTTAATTTAAGCTTAATACTTTAAAAGTTTGTTTAATCATCTTTATTTATTTTTTTCCATGAACTTATTTACTGCACAAAATGAACATCATATGTGGGCTAGCCTGAAAGTCTTTGTATTCTTTGTTTCACTGGATAATAAAAAATATTAATTCTTTTAGTCTTGAGTTAAGTTTTTAATACCTCAGACCATAATTAGGCTTTGTGACATTTAAAACTGATTGCAACTCATCTCAACAAGCCTAAGGACCCTGGCTAAATATCTTCCAGATATATGTGTCCAGTATATACTAGACCACATCGGTCTAAATAACCAAATAGGGATATCAATAACAATGTAAGAATGCATCAAGAAGTGTTTAATTATCTGTAACATACATAGTCTTATGTAAAACAACTGAATAACTTGGCAGGCAAGTGCATCAAGAAAAAACCGAAATAAATTTTGAATATTCTAAAAGCGAATGTAACATTTGTGACTGGGCATCTCAGTCAATCACATCAATTTTGTGTTGTGTACATTTTCCTGTATAGCTTCAACAAAACAGAAAATCCATTTTTTTTTTTCAACCTCAGAAGCAAAATAAAATTTAAAAAAAAAATGGTTTAATTAAATACACAAGTGTTTTCCACATTGTGAGGTACAGGTGTTAAAAGTGATAGGTCTGAACATTGATTAGATATTGAGCAAATTAAATTTGTATTTATAGCAAAAAGTTTTTGTGAATCACTGTTGTGTACACACAATGATCATTAACTGTAAGTTTTGCATGAAGGGGTGAACATTCTCAACTTGTAACATAAAAAATGATCCAAATGATTAAACACAAGACAATAAATGATATGTGTCAAACATTTGTACACCAAACACAATGATACAAAAATTAGTATGATATGATCAATAATTTTTTCTGAGTTTTAAGTTTAAAACATGTTTGTCTCTGATAAAGAATTTAAATCAAAAGACTGTTAAAATAGATTGACATTTGAAGCAACGGGGCAAGAATTTTGAACCACTGATTTACAAATATATACATCAATACAATTGTATCAAACAGTAATATTTGTCCATACTCAAAATAAACAGTAAAAGAAACTAAATTTGATATATCAAAATATAAAATTTCTATATAGCTTTCCAATATCTATGATTATCAGAACACATATTTTCAAAGCAAAAAAAAACAACACATTTTGCCAGTAATTTTCTTGAATACTATTCCATTAAAATACTTTTCAGTATTTTCCTCCTGATTAGTTAACTAATACTTAATTAAAAGGGTTTTAGATTTTTAGTCAATTATTATTAAAATGCTGTACTTTAAAAAAACACAAACACACGATACCGAAAATCAAAATCAAGACCCAAAAAAAAAAAAGGATCCAGAAATGTTTTAAAAATACTACTATAGTGAGAGAGTCAATCATGACCAACATTTGGAAAATGTGCTATCACATAGAAGAACTATCAACACAAAAAGCCTTTTGTATCTGAATGAGAATGTCACATTTTCAAAATCACAGAATTCATTCACAAGTGTTCATAACAGGTGTGGAATATGCTCTAAGGTTTACAATAACAAACATTTTGATTAAGAGACAATATATTTTTTTGAACTGCATAAAAAAATCATTTTGCCAATACTGTCATAAACCATACCATTGGTCACTTGAGTGTCACAGCTATTTCTGAAAGATTAAATTTTCCAGCAAAAAGACAACTTGTGCATTTTTAAAATCTAAACATTTTATGAGCAAGCGAAGGATTTCAAGTTTCTGATGGCAAAATTTAGTAAAATACAAATCCAAAGAGATATTTAATCTATGAAAATATTAACATTTTTAACAACTCCATTCCTTAAGATTTACATCTGTCGGAGTAGCCTACATTTTGGGTGTAATCCACCTATCTACATCTTTATAGATTATAAATGGAGAAGATATATGTAACTAAAAAAACTGTATAAAAAGCATTACTTATTGTGTTTATTGTGGTATTATTGAAATACTATAACCCTAATCCACTGAGAAAGAGGGTTTGGCTGACTTGCGTAATAATAAGCAAAGGGAGAGACATTTAACAATGCATTATTAGAATTACATTTAGGGTCAGCATTTGATGGCATCCACGCGTGGGAAATCTGAGTAAAATTTCATAGATGAATTGATCGCAAAAATAAAAAAGAGTGGATTACACTCACAACATACGGTAAATGTTAACAATTGATTTTATGTTAACAATTGATTTTTTAATTTTGATCTGGCAGATAAACAAAAATAACATTCATATTATCACCAATTATTTTATAAAACAATGTAGAGAAATCACAACCATAACAAAAATCTTACCCTTTGCCAAAAAGCCCTATTAATTTAAACATAAAATATATTGAAGCTGTTTAGGAATGAATAAAAATAATTTATATCATAAACACATTATATACAATGCTAAACAAAATAAATTGTATAATGGAAAAGTTAATTTTATTTAAAAAATTTGATTATGAGACGTGAGTCAGATAGTAATGGACACAATAAAGCAATACTGCTTACTTACAAAAACATTCTATACACAGTGGAGTATTTATTGTAATTTGTTGCTCAACTTGAAGGAATTGTCATATAAATTGCACTTTGATTGGCTTTTTTAATGCCCTGAAAGTGGTGCTCAACATGCTGATCGACTATGTTGCTTGGGTAGCCTACTGACATACTGACCTAAGGTCAATCTTCATCTATAGTCTACATTCAATTATCTGATCAGATAGCATTTACAAGTGTAACCGAAATATTGGGTAGAAAATTAATAAGAAGTTCTATTAGTAAATTACCAATACAACTTTTTTATAATTTTCTACCACATATTTGGGTTACGCTTGTTGAATGTTATCTAATGAGATAGTTAAATGTAAAAAATCCTACAAATCTGTAATAATGACATGTTAATGATTCGTTGATTCATGAAGTTAATACAAACAAGGTTTTCCAGGACGGGTTAATAGAATTTATGTAGGAAAACATAAATTTAGTTTGTATAAATTAATAAACAATTATGTGCTTTATAATTAAGCTAATTATAATTTTAGTAAATTACTCACTATATACTATTAGAAAGTAAGTTATCAAGCTTTAAACAGAACAATTGATCACATTTATAATTTTCTCCTCGTAGCTTTCCCAGACATTTTAAATTTTGGGACGGAAAAGGTCAAAGTATTGTTTTCTTCAATAGCTAAAACACAGCGGATATGCTATATAAATGAAAAGCAGATGAAAACATGAGAATAGCAGTATAAAAAAACTGGTTAATTAGAGATGAATAATGAAAAAAATTAAAATTCTCTTGAAAGTGTGCAGAAATTGTAATAGTAAAAGTCCAGAGATAAAAAGTATAAACAATAATGTAAAAGGTTTTGTTAAAAATGTGATCCCAATATAAAAGTGTTATAGGTAGTTAACATTCATAATTTCAATTATTGAAATTAAAAAAAAGTTTTAAATCTTTTAATGAAAACCTTAGAAAAAGCAAATAATAAACCATTGAATAACAAAGATATATCACATTATTTTAACAAGAACATAGGAAATAAGAAAAATATATTTAAACTGAACGAAAGAAAGTAGCGAGAGACCATGTTAGATTTTACTCAATTCGTACATTAAGGATTAATTGGTACATTATTTTTTTTATGCACACAAAAACAGAATAAACAAGAACAAAATTGTTAAGTCTGAAAAAAATCTGAGCATGCTGAAAAAAAAATTACAACTCAAAAAAATAAATGTTTAGTGATCATCATTTAGTAACACAGGCTTTCTTTTAATATATTAAATATGATTTCAATATAACTTGAGCTTAGAAAAGTTTACAAAAAGAAAAATTAATTTGGTTTTGAATTTTTTTAAAACTGTTTAACAAAAACATAATGATTGATCTTGTTTGGTCATGTCAAGAGTTCAAATAATATTTATAAGTTAGCTAACATCAATCATCAAGTATAAAACACAATCAACAATCATTGCTGAACGCATATCAAAATTATATAAAAATTACTAGGTAAAAAAACATAGCCACCATTATTGTTGAAAATACATGTGTAATATCAATTGCCACCATAACTGTTGAAAACACACTTGGCTTTTATTCAGCTCATGATGAAACAGGTTGTTGCCAGTACACATCATCACTATGTGTCAATCATGTCTTTAACAACCTAAAACAATCATTCACAAGATTGTAAATGTGAGGGTTGCATGGAGATTTTAAAATTAATTATTGTTTACAAAAGCTTGATTTAAAATTTCCAATTTCCAAGTTAGTTATTATCAAAGCAAATAGGCAGCCAAGGAAATAATTATTTTTTTAAAATGGTATTTGTTATTAAATGTCTCTCATACTAAACTACTGTACTTTTGTAACAGCATACTTGCCTCTAACTAATTTTTTTTCTTTAAGTTCAACCATCATCCTCAACATGCTTTGTATGTTGCATTTTGATACATTTAAATAGATGGTAAACAATAGAAGCATGATACTTTTTAAATACTTTGGCCAAACAGAATCTCAGATAACTGTATTAGACAGGAAGAGGCATCTTGGGGGAAGGGAGTAGTGGATAGGGCACGCCTTAAAAATACTACACATAAACACTAAATAGGCAACAGAATGAAACACATTGGAAAATAAAAAAGGAAGCCATAAATGACTGATGGAAAAAGACCAATGAAATTGGTAGTTTGTATGAAGTGAAAAGTGTATATGTGGATACAAATTTTATAAAGCCCTGTGTTTCCTAGGCAAATTAAGGGAATGTCATTGTGAAATCATCAGCCATTGTCATGTTAATAAGATTATACAGAACTAAGTGTACTCACCTCTCTAATGTAATTAGGCAGGACAAAAGAGGCAGTGTGAATATCTGAGTTGTAATACTTCAAGTCCATTCTTTTTAAATCTTCTTCAGATAGTCGCCTGACTGGCTTTGTAAAGTCAATGTTCTGTAACCAGATTTAAAGAATGTCAATAAACTGAACAATGTAATAAGTGTCATAGCTGTATTAATGGTTTTTCACATGAAGCAATAATATCTCTGGGTGTCTGTGTATCACACTGGCTAGGGTATTCTAAACCCACCCAGCAATGATGCCCCAATGCCCACCCAGCAATGATGCCCCAAAGCCTACCCAGCAATGATGTCCCAATGCCCACATAGCAATGATGCCACAAAGCCTACCCAGCAATGATGCCTCTAAGCCACCCTTCATATGCTGACGTCAAGAACATATGAGCTCTACTTCACTTGCCTAATGGATCGCTAGGTCTAAAGAGATATACTTACTCTTTAAAAAAAAAAACATTAGTATTTCATCTGCCAAATAAAGGGTTTTGCCTAGAGATTTTTTAAAAATTAACAAGAGAGGAATGCATCAGCATTTCAAGGTTCAATTGACAAATATTTGTTCCACTATTTTTAATTTCTTTAAGAAGTAACAAATCTAAGACTACCTGAGGCAGAGTCATGGTGCATCTGAGTAATAAAAATGGACTGTAACTACTTACTGGAGTTGAGCTTGCTACAAGATATCCCATAATACCACTGGCATAAGTGGGTGTGCTGCCTGTAGCATAACCAACCTGAGGAAACACATCTCTACACTGTTGGAACATCTTTTTCACGTTAGGCAGGTCTATAAATGGTGTTAGCCCTGGGAAAAGTAAAACCTGTCTGTCTAATGCTGGCACACACCACATTTTACACTAAAACCTGTCTAACTTGACAACATACCCTGACAACAGGCAATACCATCAGCTTTGAGAGCCCCCTTCAAACCCATGTAGTAGTTGGTCTGGAATAGAGCCTCAGCAGCACCTAAAGATAAAATGCATGTCTGGCACTATAGAAACATATCATCAAGTAGCCTGTCATAGCGTAGATATATAGAATTGGACTGGACTGGTAGAGGTCACGAAGGATGGTGCAAACTTGATGGTAGATGATTTGGTGCGAGAGTATTGTGCGCATGTTTAATAAAATATGTGTGGCGCAAATGTGACGTGTGCATGGCGCAACAATGTACCGATGACGCAGACGGCACCAGTGAAGATAGTTGGGGGTTAGATAAACTAGAAGACGGACGTATTCTTTGATGTTGTGCAAATGATCTAAAAGTGTGTTAATAAAGTTAATGTTTGTTCATAAACGAAGTTATTGGCATTGTTAGTTAGTGCCTCAGGAACATAAGAGTGATTCCCATCCTCCTCACGAGTATAATAGCTGTATGAATAGTAGACCAGATCAGAATATATAGAGAAGTTAAAGTTATAAATTTATATATATATATATAAACCCCCCATCACATAGCCCAACACTATACCAATGGCCAACTAAGCATAAAAACAAAGGAAATAAGGGTGGTATCAAGCCTACTTTTATACAGTTCTGTTAACGTGGCAGTACTGTCCTGTCATTATAAGACCTCATCAAACTAGACCTTTGATATGCAGTACTGTCCTGTCATTATAAGACCTCATCAAACTAGACCTTTGATATCATGTACTGTCCTGTCATTATAAGACCTCATCAAACTAGACCTTTGATATGCAGTACTGTCCTGTCATTATAAGACCTCATCAAACTAGACCTTTGATATCATGTACTGTCCTGTCATTATAAGACCTCATCAAACTAGACCTTTGATATGCAGTACTGTCCTGTCATTATAAGACCTCATCAAACTAGACCTTTGATATCATGTACTGTCCTGTCATTATAAGACCCCATCAAACTAGACCTTTGATATGCAGCACTGTCCTGTCATTATAAGACCCCATCAAACTAGACCTTTGATATCATGCAGTACTGTCCTGTCATTATTAGACTCCATCAAACTAGACCTTTAATATCATGCAGTACTGTCCCATCATTATCAGACCCCATCAAACAAGAGTAGTAAACAAGGTAGCTAACCCTCAGGGTCAGGAGCATCTGTGATGATGACATCAAACTCTCCAGGGTGGTTGCTGACGTAGTCCACCCCATCCCCCACCTCAATACGAACCCGAGGGTTGTCCAGACAACAGGACATGGTTGGCAGATGTTTCCTACACACATCTATCACCAGCTGTAGAAGAAAGGGGGTCCAAAGTTTTTGTGTTGCACTTTGTCATTGAATAAAACAGCATTGAGCAGTAAGTGCCTAACGTATGATTATAAATTTGTATTTAAAAACATAAACACTAAAATAATTTTTTTTTTAGTTTAAAAATATTTTTTATTCTCTACGATTAAAAAACCTTACCTGATCAATTTCACATAGTACAACTTGATTGACAGATTCATATTTCAGAACTTCCCTAACTACTCCACCATCCCCTCCACCAATCACCAAGACCTGGGACAAACAGTGGGTCAGGTTAGTGGAACACAGCGGATCAGGTTAGTGGAGCACCAAAACAATGAATAGAAATCCAAAGAAATCAAATACTTTAAGTGGGTGAGTTTGTGGATGTGGATACAGGTTAACAACCTTAAGTGGATTTGGATATAAGGTCAAGGATATATGTTGCAGTGAACTACCTTTTGTGGATTCGGATGAAGGGTCATGGGTATATGTGTTATCATCTCCTGGTAGGTGAACTCATCCTTCTCTGTGCACTGGATGATCCCATTTAACACAAGAACATTGCCAAATGACTTACTGCAGAGAAAACAAATAGCACATCAGTTGAAGCTTATGACTGGCTTGCTTGTGTCTGTAGTTTCTTTAAAAATGTGCAGTGTCTCAGTCATAGGCAGCAGCATTATTCAGTCATGACAATCAGCAAGTCATGTCAGTGTGCAAGTCATGACAGTCAACAAGTCATGTCATTCTAATGTCAGCCAACAAGTCATTTCAGTCAACAAGTCATGTCAGTCAACAAGTCATGTCAGTCAACAAGTCATTTCAGTCAACAAGTCATGTCAGTCTAATGTCAGCCAACAAGTCATTTCAGTCAACAAGTCATGTCAGTCAACAAGTCATGTCAGTCAACAAGTCATGTCAGTCTAATGTCAGCCAACAAGTCATTTCAGTCAACAAGTCATGTCAGTCAACAAGTCATGTCAGTCAACAAGTCATTTCAGTCAACAAGTCATGTCAGTCAACAAGTCATGTCAGTCAACAAGTCATGTCAGTCTAATGTCAGCCAGCAAGTTATGTCAATCCAGTTGTCACATCACTCAACTTGTCAGTGTCATCAATCAACACATTTTGTTGTTATTCAATGTCTTCATGGCCCTAGTTATATAAAAAAATGGCTTAAATCAGCTGATGTGCACTTTAAAGCAGAGCTTATTTAACTCATTCCTACATGCCCTAGATACTAGATCTAGCCCACAATTAATAAAAGGATCAATATTTTAAACAAACAAAAAATCTGTGTTTGGCCAACAAAGAAAATGTGTAGACTGATTGTGTGGCAGCTCCACACATGACACACATTTGTTCTCATCATTTTTAACTAAGTCGCATTGATTTCAACCATAAGCCTTGTCAATATTAGCTTTTTTTTTTATACTGATTTTCTCCACTTGCGAGTTTAAACTATAATTTCAAACATTTCAAAAACTAGCCTTTTTAATGCAATATTTTTCAACAGACCATTTAAATGCAAGAATAACTTTAAGCAACTAAACTTTTGACTGCAGGGGTATCTCGCAAAAACTAACCTTTTGAATGCAAGGATATCCTAGAACAACTAACCTTTTGAATGCAAGGATATCTTAGAACAACTAACCTTTTGAATGCAAGGATATCTTAGAACAACTAACCTTTTGAATGCAAGGATATCTTAGAACAACTAACCTTTTGAATGCAAGGATTTCTTAGAACAACTAACCTTTTGAATGCAAGGATATCTTAGAACAACTAACCTTTTGAATGCAAGGATATCTTGGAACAACTGACCTTTTGAATGCAAGGATATCTTGGAACAACTAACCTTTTGAATGCAAGGATTTCTTAGAACAACTAACCTTTTGAATGCAAGGATATCTTGGAACAACTGACCTTTTGAATGCAAGGATATCCTAGAACAACTAACCTTTTGAATGCAAGGATATCCTGGTACTTAGATTTGCCCTCATACAAAACCTCCTCCACCTGCAGGTTTAAGCTGTAACCTGCCCACTGCAGGTTCACCTCCCTGAACCAACCATCCTCAATAACGGATTGGTTGTAAAATATGTCATTCTCCATGGATCTTGTTTAATAGCTGATCTAGAGTGGAAACAAATAGATAGTGGATATAATTTAATAAAACGTGTTACAAACCTATAGAGTTGCTTATCTAATTTAACAAACAAGATGCTATTAACATTCAGAATTGTCATAGACCTATAGAGTAGTGTTTATAATTGTAGAAACAAGACTATAAAAATACAGAGTACTGCCTTCTGTGATCATTATGATATATTAACCTAGAATAAATTTATACAGTATTTATGCATAAATCATCAAATAGGATGTAATCAATAAATAAGTTTTATAAGGACTAATGAACATTATGTACATTAATACCCAACTAGTGTATACAACTGAATGAACATTATGTTAATACATTGGATAGACTTGTGAAAAACATAAATCAATAAACATTATGTCAATTCTGAAGTGGTTTCAAACAGAAACATAAAAGATGCAAATGTTAGATCATTATTCCTGTTTGAATATTTAATGCTTTAGTCATGTAGAAAAAAATCAATACCAAATAACCAGTTGCATAAAAAACTGAAACCTGTACCAATGGTGAATGCAGTGCTATCACTCATCTAGTAGCTCATGACTATAGAAGCTGGAAGGGTCAAAAGAAAATTGTTGGTTTTCAAATTAAAGTTTCAATAGTTAAAACATTGACCCTTGATTAGTACAAATTTTTTTAGATATGTAGTCTCTATTTCCCATACACACGAATAAAAAATTATGTGGTGTGTATTCTGCTGTAGGCCTAGAAATACTATATGGATAGTATGGAAAGGTTTTAAGAGATGCCAACAAGATGCATTATGAAACTGACAACAATCAAGACTGAATAATAGAACAGCATTTATATCATTGTTTACAGAAGCCAGCAAAAGAGCAGACACATTTACTTCAAAAATCAATAACAGATACACCACAGCAATTAGGGATACACAATGCTCTACAGTGGCAGGGAACACATTCATACAACATCACCAATACACAGGCAGAACACAACTTGTCCACAGTTCAAGAGGCAGTTTGTGTGTTTGGCCAACAGCTATAGTCACCATAGCCACACCCTCAGCATGTAAAACAGTAGAAGCAGTGGCTGCACGATCTCATACTAGGCAACATTAGAGGAGTGAAGCAATTTAATGTAGAAATTATGAAACACAAACAACAAATAAACAAGCAGCCCAGTATACAAACAAGACAACAAACAAGTTGAAGTAGACAGAATAGTAGGTGATAAGCAAACCAAAATGGACAAGTTGATAACAGAAATAAATGCAGTGATTTTCTTTATGTAAAGCTGTCCCTAAACGGTAGATTTATGTTATTTGGTTTGCTTATGTTTTAAAGATTTGTTTTTTTGTCATGTTTGTATGTGCTGCCCGACAAATGTTCAGCACATTGGGATTGAGGTTTTTTTTTAAATGGAAGGTACCTTTGCCTGAATACGTGTCTCACTGGCACCAAGATAGCCACGTAAACTCATTGTTCATAGTCTCAAAATACCACTTTCAGATCCACCCCTCGCTTTACCTGGATGTGGTGAGACAGCAAACAGTGCCGACACGCAATCGCCACCACCCCTTCTTCCACCGTAACAGAATCATACATCAAGACCGCTACTTAAATATACCTGTGTTGGCTGACATAAAGAAAGACCCAATGTCCAAGTTCCCCAGCTTGACGGAATATTACGCTATGTTACTCCACCAAAAGCAGCCCTATTATGATATTCAAAGCTGAATGCTTCAGTTCGTTACAAAACTACTCTACGACACTACGTGGATGTCTTAACCAGAGAAAAGGCTATCCCCAGAACAAGAATATGTTATAGTATACAGTACAAATAATATATAGATTCTATATATATAGATCTATATCAAATATCAAATTCAAAACCTCAACACTACCTACAGGCTGCCTCAGACGATTACTCAGGAGCTGCTTGCCCAAAAGGGCAACTTGTTGCAGACTACCAACCAATATCACCAGGCAGACAGGTCATAAAGTGGAACCCTCAAGGAAAGCACAAATAGAGTGGCCCTAGATCTCTACTACACTTGTCTATAGCTAGCTCAATTTGCCTAACCCTAAGGCCTGGCTAAGACTTTAAAAACTTAAAAGTCACTAAGAACTTAAGAAGTTTGGAAGAGTGAGTCTCACTTGTCGAGTAGATCTAGCTAGTAGATTAGTTCTAACGTCTAATGCGTCGATTCACTCTTTTGGAACAACCCACAACCGAGACAATGAACTGCATGGTCCTTACATACAGACTATGCATGCATCCATTATTAGATTTTATAAATATAGGCGTAGAATAGATATCTTATGGAGGAAATAAAAATATTTACTTCAAACGAAGTTTCTCTTCCCTCCTGCCTTTTCTGACGAGATGTCTTAATTTTAGAGTGGTGTCCCTTTGATAAACTAGCAAACCTTAGGGTCAGTGTGTCAACTCGGTTGTGCCTGTTATATTAGCCTTTACACATTGCGAATCTTTTAAAACCGGTTTTCTAAACTTTAACTCTCAAAAACGCTTCGCTGGATTTTGGTTTGAAAGGCAGACGCATAAAATTCAAACAAAAGCGAGATCTAGACTAGATCTAGTCAAACCTGGGGGGGGGGGGGGGGGGGGGGGGGGGGAATGGAAAGTTTGAGGAAGGGGGGGGGCAGAGGCGTAGCGACCCTTCCCGGCGATCGGGGACAAACTTTTCGATTTTGCAACCCCCCCCCCCCCTCAAGATTTCGATTTGCACCCACCCTCAAACTTTCGATTTGCACCCCCCCCCCCCTCAAACTTTCGATTTGCACACCCCCCCCCCCCCCACCTCAATATTTCGATTTGCACCCCCTCAACCTTTCAATTTAATTTTTCCAACCCATTTTGGCGCCCCCCTAAGGTCGGCGCCCGGGGACATATGTACCCCCCCCCCGCCCCCCCCCCCTCGCTACGCTACTGGGGGGGGGGGGCAAATCAAAAGTTTGAGTGGGGTGTGCAAATCGAAAATTTGAAAGTTTGTCCCCGGGAAGGGTCGCTACGCCTCTGGGGGGTGACACCATTAAGTGCCGCACCGGGTGACACCCGACCTCGCTACGCCACTGATATATATATAAGTTGACCTATACGTGAATTAACATATAGGTGAGAAGACCTATAGGTGAGAAGACCTATAGGTGAGAAAAATGATAGCTATAAACCCGGACAAAATTGGCCCTGATACCAAGAAGGCAAGCCAATCATGCCATGTTCGTTTCATTGTTTGTTTTTGATTAATGTTTCATGTCTCTTTAGTGACCTTAATTATGTTGAATAACAAATGGTTTTCCTACAGTGCGATTTTTGAAGATATGCAGCAAATGAAAATAGAATTGTAAATGCATGTCTTTTAGTGCCATACATGAACAATTACATCCGTGTGGAGAGGGTGGAGAGGTGGGAGTGGGACACACAAGGGGCGGAGGGTGGGGCTAACTGCAGGCGAATGACATTTTTAATTAAAAGGCTAATTATTTTAAATCTTAAAAAATAGAAGAGAAACTAGTGTTATAAATATAATGACTGTCACGATTTGATAACATTTTTGAATTACTAGAAGCAGCTACAGCTATTGGTCGGACACGGTGGGACGATTCACATGAAAGTGTGAGGTTGGGTATGCACAACCCGTATGGGCAGCTCACGTGATACAGTCCTAGTGGACGGTTTACGTGATCTAGTCCTGATTGACAGCTTACATCGTCCTGATGGGAAGCTGACGTGATCCAGTCATAACGTGAAGGTCACGTGATCCAGTCCTAACAGGAAGCCAACGTGATCATGTCCTAACGGAAACCTTACGTGACTACATGAAAATAAAGACAGCTGTGCATGTTGCTAACGAGTCTCTCCTAACGCTTAAGTCAGAAAAATGATGAACTCTACTTCATCTATCATCATTAACCATTTTATCTAAATTGGGTTATTAATTTTTTAAACTTGTATTTTACTTTGCTTTACATCATATATAGGCCCATGACAACTGCAATCACGCTTCGGGGATCACCGTGACCTCTGTCAACATCTGGAAAACGGATGCGTACATTGTCACCCACTTCACCATCTTTAAATTTTGTATTTGATGTTTTAAGCATCTTAGCACCTTGAGTTTGCAAGCCAGTATGAGCTGCTGACCTGTGTTCCATGATGTCTTGTTTGTTGTGACACAATCTGCAGGTAATGTTCCCTCCGGACCCTTCGTCTGCTTCATTGGGTGTTCCACAAATAGCATGGACATCGTAGCCACAGGATCCAAAAGAATGAGCTGCACTACAATGTTTTTCACAAACTATACAGAATCTGTTGGCCACATAATTGTCACGCAACTGGTCTGGACGTTCCGCCACGGCAGTAGATGTGTTAGCTGAGGATGTCGTTGCATTTATGGCAACCTCCATTTCTTGTTCAATGTTCTCAAGATCTTCCTCAGCAGAGGCGTAGCGAGGGGGGGGGGGGGCGTGGGGGGACATATGTCCCCGGGCGCCGACCTTAGGGGGGGCGCCAAATTGAAAGTTTGAGGGGGGTGCAAATCGAAAGTTCGAGGGGGGGGGGGTGCAAATGAAAAGTTCGAGGGGGGGGGGTGCAAATCGAAAATTTGCTCCCGAGGGGGGCGCCAAATTGAAAGTATGTCCCCGGGAAGGGTCGCTACGCCTCTGTTCCTCAGTAACTATTTTATCGAGAGCCCATATATGGAAACTAACATGGATTTACATTTTTTTCTTTTGACAGCCATCTACTATGTCTGTCTCATGGTCTGACGGCCCTTTTGATCCTTGTCGCCTTGCATATAGAATGCTATATAAACAAGAGCTAAACAATACGTTACTCTCAGTGAAAACGCACCCAGAATAATGAAAATGCGATCACAACTTAGTCTAGATAGAACATTGGCCAGGACACACCGGCCAGTGCGCGCATTGGCCGGCCAATGTACAAAATACGCTGTCAAGTTTAAGCGCTTCGGACTTTGGCCAGTACGTCCTGGCCAGTGCGCGCATTGGCCGGCCAATGTACGAAATACGATCTTAGTGCTAAGTTCTTCGGGCTTTGGCCAAGAGAGCCGGCCAATGCGCGGATTGGCCGGCCAATCCTAGCATTGGCCGCACTTCGGGCTTTGACCGTAACATATACATACCTACGTAGATGGAACGGGGCACAAAACAAGTTATTTGCTGTCCCTGATCACTACTTTATCGCCTCAGCCAAACTTTACCTAGCAACAATTATTATCTAGCCAAACTGTTTTTTAACCTAGCCATACCTCATATTGTTAGCAAAACATTTTACCTAGCCAAAGTTTTTACCAAGCCATACTTTACATTCGCTGCGCAACGAGCCTTTTATGGTCGAGTATTCATCAAGGATTCGGATGAGTGCGTTTTTTTTAGTTTGCCCTTTATGTGGGTTTGGGCGATAAAGTAGTTTTCTCTATTAGTAAAATATTAATACATAAGGGATATAGATTGTCTTATCGCCATAATTTACGCGCTCAATTATCTACTAGCGGTCAAAACGCATACGGGCTAATTTAAATAAGGGTTAATGCACAGTTTATTTACACGTATTCAATTAAACTTGTAGAAAAGAGGTATTACATGAACCTTGTAGAAATGAGATATTACCTTAACCTAGTAGAAATGAGGTATTAACTTAGTAGAAATGAGATATTACCTGAACCTTGTAGAAATGAGGTGTTACCTGAACCTTGTAGAAATGAGATATTACCTGAACCTTGTAGAAATGAGGTATTACCTGAACCTAGTAGAAATGAGGTATTACCTGAACCTAGTAGAAATGAGGTATTACATGAACCTATTATAAATGAGGTATTAACCTTGTAGAAATGAGGTGTTACCTGAACCTTGTAGAAATGAGGTGTTACCTGAACCTAGTAGAAATGAGGTATTACTTGAACATTGTAGAAATGAGGTATTAACCTAGTAGAAATGAGGTGTTACCTGAACCTTGTAGAAATGAGGTATTACCTGAACCTTGTAGAAATGAGGTGTTACCTGAACCTAGTAGAAATGAGGTATTACCTGAACCTTGTAGAAATGAGGTATTACCTTAACCTTGTAGAAATGAGGTATTAACCTAGTAGAAATGAGGTATTACCTGAACCTGGTAGAAATGAGGTATTAACCTGGTAGAAATGAGGTATTAACCTGATAGAAATGAGGTATTACCTGAACCTAGTAGAAATGAGGTATTAACCTAGTAGAAATGAGGTATTACCTGAACCTAGTAGAAATGAGGTATTAACCTAGTAGAAATGAGGTATTACCTGAACCTAGTAGAAATGAGGTATTAACCTAGTAGAAATGAGGTATTACCTGAACCTTGTAGAAATGAGGTATTAACCTTGTAGAAATGAGGTATTACCTGAACCTTGTAGAAATGAGGTATTAACCTTGTAGAAATGAGGTATTACATGCACTCTGCACCAGGACATGTACACCGGGATGATAACAATGCAATTAGTGCAGCGATGACGACGGACAGATTCGTTGGTAGCTGTCAATCACCTAACGGCTTGTTGGTGAGGGGATCGCATATCAGGCTGTTGGGACTGCGCAAGGTGGGGGGGGGGGGGGTTTGTCTGATCTACTTCCACAGCTGGGCTGTCGGTATCCGGTTACTCTACACACGGGCAGTGGCGTAGCTGGGGGAGAGGCGCCCCGGGCGACGACCCTAGAAAGGGGGGGGGGGCGCCAAAAAAGTGTAGAAAAAAATTAAGCTGCAATATTGAATTATTCATAATCGAAGTTAAAGAAATAAATAAACAGGTACTTTACATACTGATCAGTGTTTCTTCCAGACTTCTTTCTCCGGGGAGGGGGGGGGGAACTTGATATTTTCGGGGGCGGCCTACATTTTCCGGGGGGGGGGGCACACTAGTAAAAGTATGTTTACTATATAAATTCCATCTCGTTCGGGGGGGGGGGAGACTTTCTTCAGGGGGGGGGGAGAGATGCCTGGAAGAAACTCTGTGTCCTAGTGGGGTGGGGTTGGGCGTGTCATGGGGAGGGGGCACTGTAGGAAAGAAACGCTGTTTACAACCCAGATCTAGTGAACCAAAGTTCAACAATGTCGACATTTCATGCTCTATGGTGTAGGTAGAAATATTTTGGAAAACATCGTGATGCGTGACACTCGACATCAGGAAAAAAATACCCGTGGCACTAATAAGCACATTCCTATACGCTGCTATACACACGTCCGATTTAACCTTCTACTGAGTTCTGTTATAATTTGCAATGAATAGGAATGCCACGCTCCAAATGTCTTTTATAATAAATAATGTTAACCGCCCCACATCTATTGTTTACCCCAGTCCGCTAAATGTACCCGGTATGAATTTTTAAGTCACAGAGCACACACAGCTACACACGATGTGCTGTAGTAGACTAGACTGGTTGTGGATGTATGGGCCTCGGTTCAAAGACTTCAAGTATCTTCTAAGTCTAAAGTGGACTTCAAAAGAGAATGTCTTAATTGTTTCGTTGCTGGCGTTAATAATTGATTTTTTTAGTGTTGCAAAAAACGTCATAGAATAGCATGCCAGTAAGGATAACGGAAATTTTATAATGCTAAGATCACTGGGGCGTAACCGGGTACTTCGTTTAGCTAGTAGGGGAGGGGATTGAAGGTGGGACGATTATTTAGTAAAATTTTATCAAGTAAAGTATGGAATAAATAAATGGGAATACATGGGTTGTTTAACAAATTTTGTTCAAATAATTTAAACAGACCAAAGAGTAATTTTTTACTCTACGATACTAGATAATTTGATAGTTCTTTAAAAGGTTTATTTGGGTAAATGTGTTACACCAGTCTCCAGCTAGATCAAACAGTTTTTAAAAAAAATCACATTTCTTTAAACCACTATGGAATATATTATATATAAATATATATATTTGAAATTATTCCCCCATAAATATATATATATATATATATATATATATATATATATATATATATATATATATATATATATATATATATATATATGACATGTACGATGACGTACATTCATGTGAGGTTTTAGTTATAGACATGAGAAAAAACTTGAAGCCTTACTGGTATAAAAATGTCATTTTATTTGAGGTTTAAAAAGCATTGTCAAATAATCTGTATAAAATTAATGAACAGTGGATGAGATGAAGCTGAACAATAAAAGGATAAAAATGTGAGATTTTGAGACATAAATAGTCACTCAGCAGACTAACAAAGGCAGGTCCTGGGGGGGGGGGGGGGGGGGGGGGGGGGGGAGAAAGATAAAAAAAAAACTTAACCTAAAAGCAGAAACAATTTTCAGTTGTTAAAATAGATAAGCCAAAGGTACAAATATAACAAATTTATTGGAATAAATTTTATCTTATGAAATCTTGGCAAGTCATGAAACATCACTTTCATGCAAACCTCGGCCATATGGCCACTCAGAAATGCTGACATTTGGCGTGGAGCAATCCTAAAAATGTCAGGTATTCAGGCTCCTGACTCTTGACCTTGTTTACATTAACACACACATTTATTTCAATGTTTCATTGGATGAAGGACTACTAACAGGCCTAAAGTCTCACATTAACTATTCTACTCAAAGACTAAATACAATTAAAATGAAATAGTAAATACATTAAAAACAAGTGTACAATTATTTTGATAATTTATGCACAGCTATTGCTCCAATTTAAAAGATTAATGCAGAGTTACTGACAAATATATATATATACCTGATATTTTTAGGTATGATAAAAAAATGACATTAACACATTCATTAGCTAATAATCATATGATTAAAAAACAACCTTGCAAAAAAAAGTTTTAACAACATTCCAAGGGAAATAACTCTTATAAAGAGAGCTAACTCATATATAACAACATTGTAATTCAAAACTCATGTTCTCAAATTACTTCAATCTCCATAATAACCACAGAAATTTTGTAACAGATTTGATTCAAATCTTCTTATATATGAACGATAACTGAAGGACATTTATTAAACCAGATATCTTTTACAATTCAATATGTACAAATTACATACTAGTCAGTATCTCATTAAAAACAGCTTGTGATAACAAAATTTGAGTACTTATTTCTTCTTGTCCTCTTTACATGCTATAACATATCGCTGGGGAACCATCAAAGGTGGGGAGTATCCTGTAGCGTAGGAGGTATCCTCAAACAGAACAGAGTAGTCATCTTGGGGCTGGCAAACAAACAACACTCAAGTTGGGAAGAAATGGAGCAACATGGAAAGCAGGGTAACTAAGCTAAACTCAACTATCCTACAAGGTCATGTGCTGATAAGACAGTAAAACTGCTAACAAATTCAAGAATTTATACATTATAAGTATAAAAACCAAATACATTAGTAATGAGGACATCGAATTGGCAGGAGATAAATCTAGTCCTTGGAATCTAAGCTGGACATTATAAATGAAAATTCTAGTAATAAAACAGGTAGTAATGACATTTAATTTTGGTGAATTCTACAAAAAAACTTCACCTAAAGTTTAAAACATTATTTTTTCTATATGTAAACGTAATGTTACAGAATCATTGATATTTCAAAGACACTGATGGCAGAAATTCATTTGGGGGTTATGCCTACTTCATAAATTAATATAAATCTACTTCTTCTATTTAAAAAAAAAAAGATCTCGTTGTTATTTCAATTAAGCTAAATTCTATAGCATTTGTTTGCTGAATGTTGTGCCAATTACAATGAAATTCATTAATTAATTAGAATAAAATGTTCCAGAACTGTAGCCCTTAAAAAATCTTAGGAGATATAATTAATTAATGAATCTCATTGTAATTGACACAACTCTTGTTGATAGATTTCATATATGAGAACTCAACTAGAACCTGTAATAAAAGACTTGCCTTTTTTGGTGGTTCATCTACCAGAGCTCTGTAGAAACAGGTGGTCTGTGGGTACAGGGCCAGCACCAGCTAGAGAAACAATAGGCTGATTAGTTTTTATATGTGGTCTCTTCATTTTTTAAGAGTGATATTAATACAAACTTACATAAAAACCACACTAAAAAGAAATGAAATGACCCAGCTAGTTTTATTAATGCACTACTCACTGTTTTCTTAGCAAACAGGGCACCAGGATCTGTTTCTGGATTAGCTTTCCAGATAGGAAGGGGAACTACTCTACGTCGACTTATAGAATGTCTCCTAGAAATTTATAAAATTTAAACTGCAATTATTTTCTGTATTTCTCTAATGTTCTTTTAATGACTGCCATATTTGAGAAACTTCAAACACTATTTTTTTAATAACAATATAGTTTGTGGGTTTTCCAATTAAAAATGAAAAATAAATAAAAATTGCTAAATAAACAATATTTTAGAGTGTAGTAACTTTATTAAAAAGCTAATTATCTTAACTATTTAGTACAAGCTTTGATAATGTTCAACAAATGACACAACTTACTCCTTTCCTTCTTCTGCATCTACATCGTCCACTTCATACTTCCCAGTGTGGGCATTAAAATGGACGACCTCAGCCAGAATCCAGTTTTCTTCCCCATCCTGACCCTTGACCCTAGCTGCTACTTTATCTTCAGGCTGAGAAATGTAGTTGCCATCAGCAGGTACTGCCCCACACAATGGAGGCGGGCTGGTGGAATCAAACACTGAGTTCAACTTTTCTTGCAGTGCAAGTTTTTTTCACAAAGCTACGAGTAAAGGCTTATATAACAATAAAAATAAAGCATGTGGCGACCTTTGATAAAGATACAGTAATGTTTTGTACTAAGCAGAGTAAAAAGAAAGCAAGTTCTTACCTTTCTCCTGGCTTGCTGACCCACAGAGGTAAGGTCGTGGCATTCTGCTGCAGCTGTGACATCAGGACCCCCCTTCTCATGATTTGTTTAGGTCGACCTGAATCTAGCATACATAAAATTAGTGCATTTAAAATTTCAGTTCAGAAAATTTCAGTAAAACAGTAATACATGTTAGCTTAAGTGATGTGAAATGGTCCCTTCTGTCTGCTTTACAATGTAAGTTAAACTCAAGTCTGTACAAGTTAGTGCAGTGGATTCTTAAGCTAGATAATGTCATAAAGTCTAGTCACAATGTAACTAAATGTCTACATTTGGCAACATTGAGGAGTTTTAAAAACTAAATGCCAGTAAAAAAACAAACCATGCTTCTGCTTTGCTGATTTCTCTTGAAGCTTTTTTATTTCTTTTATCTTCTCAAGGGCAGACCTTATAACTCTGTGGGGAAAAAAATCCTTTTTATACAGCTATGATTTTTACCAACATTTCATTCTTTTTAGATTTTGTAAACTTAATATCATGCATTTTAACACAGCAACTTCTATTATACACAAATGTACTAAACAAATTACTAAAAGACTAGAGATTAAGATTTAATAGGTTTGCTAAAAAACAAGAAATAAAAAAAGTTTTAAGTAAATGTAACTAGGGGAAGTTACCAGAGACATAAGAACGCAGTACAGCGCTGTCAACTTTGACACGACTGATGCAATAACGCAGGTGTTGGCTGATAACGATCAGAAAGCCAAGGCGTAGTATCTTGGGAAGCGATACGATAAGAACGCAATACGGTCTGTTAACTTTGATGTGACAGGATGCAGATGGCTTATTAAATCGGACTGTACAACAGAAGCGGCGTAATTAACATTCTGATGCAACGATTAGAATCGATTACGATTACGATTATGATAGGACCGAATACGATTATGAATACGAAGGGGATATATAGGAAGGCGACGGCTGAGCTGGCTCTCTCTCTCGATCAGTCAGTCAGTGTGGCAGTATCAAGTTGGTTATTGAACGGGTTAGCCGTATTGTGTTAAGAAGGACGATAGACATGTGCATTCAGTTATGTGAAGACTAGTGAGGACTGTTGGGGGTCAGTTGATTCCGACTATTATTGTGAAGCATTTCTTTTGATTCATTATATTATTGTGAAACATTTCTTTGATTCATGTAATAAAAGGATCAATAGTGAACCTGCATCTTCGAGTATCTATACTGTGGTCGATGTTGTATAGAATGAGTGGTTAGACTCGTTAACATTTGGCACTACAGGCAAATAGACTCGTTACATTTGGCGTCGTCGGCAGAGGAATCCAATTAGACCAGCCGCTTTAGGCAAATAGTCTCGTTACATTTGGCGCTGCGGACAGGATGAATTCAACGAGACTTGCCGCTTGAGGCACCCATAGTCAACCTTGTTCATAACTGTGTTTCGTGTGTGTGTGAATTCGGACATTCAGGAACAGTGAAAATTGAGGAACGAGGAAAATTTTTCATACACACACGGTAAGAAAGAACTCTTTTTTTTTTTACTAAAGGAATAAAATGTCTACTCTGGACGAGAAGCAGACCCATATTGTGGTCCTGCCCAGAGAGTCCCACATTAACAAATTTTACGGGGACGGTGATCCAGCTTTAACCAACAGGTTCAGTGAGGAGGTCAAAGCGGCCTGGGCCTCGAGACACATGTCACCAGAGGAAAGATTAAGACTGCTGATGGGCAGTATAGGAGAGACGGTTAGGGCAGAGGTCAAATGCCACGATAAAACCATCCAATCAGATCCAGATAAGGTGCTGGATCTAATTATGGAGACCTTTGGGGAGAGACGGTCGGGATCGCAACTGCTATCGGGATTCGTAGGCTTAAAGCAGAGAATGGCGGAGAGTGTGATGGAGTATTCACACCGAATAAACAGGGCCTTTGATTCGGTAAAGGGCAAAACACCTGACATTGATGTACGCCTACTGAGGGACCATTTCATCGAGGGGCTAGCAACCCCGATCTTAAGGAGAGAGTTGAAAGAGGAGGTCCACAAAGACCCGCAGTTGACCTTCCTTCAGGTCAGGAACTCAGCGATCCGCAGGTCCGAGGATGAGGACCAATCGAACTGTTCGGTGGACAAAGTCTCTGTGCCGGAACAGAAACAATCCCCACCCACAGGGACCGGCACGGTGGAAACCATGATGGCTCAACTGTTGGCCCACCTGGATAAGGTTGACCAACGATTGGAGAGGTTAGAAAGCAGGTCAACAGCTGAGAATCAGGAAAAGAACGGGACAAAACAGAGACAGGTTGGACGGCCGCGACCCGCCGGTCCAGCGCTCCGGTGGACGGCTGACGGTCGACCAATTTGCTTGTCCTGTTCACAACCCGGACATATGGCACGGTACTGTCCGGTGAAACGATCGCCCTCTGTAAGGCAGGTCAAGGCTACAGAGCGGCGAGGTTATGGCGTAAGAAACAAAAGGAAACAAACAATGAAAGAGTCTCAAACAAGACTCGAAGAGAAATTGTCAGATATTGAAAAAATGAACTGTGAAATGAACTTGAATGTTGAAAAGTTTCAAGTGAACAATTTGTTGGCTAAGAAAAATGATGATAAGGAAGAAATTGGTAGACTTAATAATGAGATCTCAAGGTTAACCATGAAACTGGATAGGGAAAGTTCATGCAAATTAAAAGCACAGGAGAAATGTTCATCTTTAGAGTGTCTGTTATCTGAAGAAGAAAATAGAAAATTTGTACCTGGTTTTACAAAAATTGCCGCACCGTTGCATGACTTAGTAAACAAAGTGACAAAGAAACACAGTAAGGAGAAAAAGAAAGGCAAAACACAACTGATAGGTGAATTATGCACTGAGGAATGCCTGAACTCGTTTAAGCTACTGAAAAATGCTTTGACAGAGGCGCCGATATTAGGATACGCAGACTTTGACAAACCATTTCGGCTAGAAATTGACGCCAGCTCTAAAGGTCTGGGAGCTGTGCTATCACAACAACAAAAGCAAGGTTTCAGGGTTATTGCGTATGCCAGTCGAGCTCTGAAGGAATCAGAGAAGAACATGACAAATTACAGCGCCATGAAACTAGAACTTTTGACATTAAAATGGGCTGTGACTGAAAAATTCAGGGACTATCTATTAGGCGCTAAATGTGTGGTATACACTGACAATAACCCCTTGAGTCACCTAAAGACAGCAAAGTTGGGATCCATCGAACAGCGATGGGCAGCAGAATTGGCACTCTTTGACCTAGAGATAAAATATCGCCCGGGGCGGTCCAATGGCAATGCGGACGCCTTATCAAGGAATCCTTACGAGAGACCGGGCGATGAGGAAGAAACGCTGACAGGAATATGTGAGGTCAGGGCGTCAACAGATATCCCTCACGGGGTGCAAGTGATGCAGAACGGACAGACCGGGGTGGAGCACATTTCCACAGAGCCCGGACATATGGACATTGGTGATTTTAATTGCCTTAATAATAAAGAGATAAGAAATGCCCAGAAAACGGATAGTGGCTTACAGCCGCTGTTGAAACACGTCCAGGAACACAAATCCCCAGGAAGAAGGGAAAGAGAACAATTTGGTCGAGAAACAAAGAAAATACTGAGTCAGTGGGACCGTCTCAGTATAAAGGATGGTGTTCTCATGCGGAGAATTCATGACCAAATTGATGGGACAATACACCAGGTGGTGGTGCCTGGACAATTACGAGAAGAAGTGCTAGGGTTGGCACATGACAGGGCAGGACACCAGGGTCAGGACAGGACGCACAAAATATTACGACGGAGGTGTTACTGGCCCAATATGGAAATGGAGGTCAAACGCCATTGTGAGGCTTGTGTGAGGTGTCAGCATGCGAAAAGGCCAGTTGTCAAAATGAGACAGCCATCAGGACACCTATTAGCGACAAAACCACTAGAGATTGTGGCTATGGACTTTACGTCGTTGGAGCAATCATCGGATGGGACGGAACATGTGTTGGTAATGACTGATGTATTCACCAAATGGACTGTGGCGGTGCCCACACGAGATCAGACTGCCAAAACAGTGGCAAAGGTCTTAATAGAACATTGGTTCATCAAATATGGCATACCAAGACAATTACACTCTGACCAAGGAAGGGCCTTCGAGTCAGAAGTAATTAACCAACTGTGCAGCCACTACGGGATCAACAAATCTAGAACAACCACATTTAATCCGAAAGGAAACGGACAGTGCGAGCGGTTCAACCGCAGCATGCATGATTTGCTGCGTACCCTAGAACCTGAACAGAAAAAACGTTGGCCTGATTTTCTCCCAGAGTTGGTATATCTATACAACTGCACCCCCCATGCCACAACCGGCTTTTCGCCACACATGTTGCTGTTCGGACGGGAGGCTCGACTCCCCCTTGACTTGTTCCTAGGAAAAAAGGAGAGTATGACTGGCTCATACACCGCACTAGAATATGTGAATGAACATATGAGACGAATTAGAGAAATGTACAGGGTAGTACAGGAAAGACTAGAACATGAAGCACGGCGAAGGGAACCGCCGGTACAGACAAAGGACCCGCCACTCAAACTGAACGACAGGGTATTACTGCGTAGCCACCCGTTAGGCAGAAACAAAATCCACGACCTCTGGGGACAGGAGATATGGCAAGTCGTTGAGATGCCTAAAGTAGCAGGTGGCCCCTTTAAGATAAGACCCATCGATCACACCAAACCGGATCGGTGGGCGAATATTGCTCAATTAAAGAAATATTGTCATAGTCAAGAAGAGCAGTTACACACAAGGAAACCCAAGACAATTAGGGAACCGGAAACTATAACGGAAATTCACATACCCATCCCGGAACCATGTCACCATCAACAGAACAACAGCGATACACAAGTGGAGGATAACGGCAACGAAGAGGATCCCGTTCCTCCCAGAAGCAGAGAGACAGTAGACCATCAGATAAGTGGTCCGCGGAGAAGTTTGAGAAACAGAAAGAATACGAAATTTTTTGTCAGCAACCATCAATTCTTTCATGGTCGCGCTGGTATGAGAACAGACTGTTCAAAAAGTCATAAAAGTGAACTGGGGAAGGCACCAAACAAAAAAAGGTGGATGTGAATTCTAGAACTGTTTTGTGTCTGAGGAAGATGATGTAGACACATTTGATATGTGAAATAGGGATAACGGTCAATCTTATACGAATGTGACGACATTGACACTGAGTGGAACAATACATTTTTTTTACGGTGGTGCGATTGACTTTGAAGGACTGCACCTGCCAAGCGTTGTTTGTGGTTGATAACACACAAAAAAAAGGCAGGGGTGGATGTAACTAGGGGAAGTTACCAGAGACATAAGAACGCAGTACAGCGCTGTCAACTTTGACACGACTGATGCAATAACGCAGGTGTTGGCTGATAACGATCAGAAAGCCAAGGCGTAGTATCTTGGGAAGCGATACGATAAGAACGCAATACGGTCTGTTAACTTTGATGTGACAGGATGCAGATGGCTTATTAAATCGGACTGTACAACAGAAGCGGCGTAATTAACATTCTGATGCAACGATTAGAATCGATTACGATTACGATTATGATAGGACCGAATACGATTATGAATACGAAGGGGATATATAGGAAGGCGACGGCTGAGCTGGCTCTCTCTCTCGATCAGTCAGTCAGTGTGGCAGTATCAAGTTGGTTATTGAACGGGTTAGCCGTATTGTGTTAAGAAGGACGATAGACATGTGCATTCAGTTATGTGAAGACTAGTGAGGACTGTTGGGGGTCAGTTGATTCCGACTATTATTGTGAAGCATTTCTTTTGATTCATTATATTATTGTGAAACATTTCTTTGATTCATGTAATAAAAGGATCAATAGTGAACCTGCATCTTCGAGTATCTATACTGTGGTCGATGTTGTATAGAATGAGTGGTTAGACTCGTTAACATTTGGCACTACAGGCAAATAGACTCGTTACATAAATTAAAAAAAAACTTGTTTTGACTTACTCAGCTTCAGCCTCAGCATCTGTGGTAGCTGCACTGTACAAAGACTTTAACTTCTGTCTGTAGTAGGGAGTAACTGACAAAAAATGCTACAAACTTTAGACATGACTTCTATGAGAATATTTTAACTTTCATTAATAATTCATTGATATTATTCATTCTCAGACCCCAAACCTATTTGATAAAAATCAAAATTTTTTCTGTTTTTTAAATATATTAAAAATATTTATGTTAAAAAACAAATATCAGGCTTAGTGACTTATTATAGTACCTTTTCCTTCTTCTCTCATTTTCTCATGGGTTTTGTGAATGTTTGTTAAATTGTGCTCTGCTCGATCACGTTCTACCTAGAGAATAACAAAAAACAAATAGCAAGTAATAAAAATTTTAAAAATTAAAATTAAGTTTATATTTATATTAAGGTTAAACCTACATTTTTTTTTCTATTCAATATATGTAATTAAAAAAAAAAAGAATTTGTTTGATTGTATCCATACAAAGTGTAATCACTGCATAAATTATTTTACCTGTATATCCTTAATATTAACAAATAAATCTCCAAGTAATGTTTGTATTTTTTCCCTTGAAGATGGAGGAACACCACCGATGGCCCCTTTGTTTTCATCTGCGGATGAGCCAGTTGATTGTGTTGGACTAAGGCACTGGCCACTTGATGAGGCTGATGATTTTTCCTTTTCAACTTTTAAATCATTTCCTTTAGCAGATGCGCCACCTGAGTCTGCTTTGTCTGCCTTATTGTCAAGTTTGATTTCAGATTTTGATTCATTCTTTCCATTGTTGGCCTCATTTTTAGCCTCTGATTTAGAGTTATCCCCTCCGCCTTTACCTTTACTGGCTCTAGGCATATCTGAAACAATACAAGTAATTATTACATTATTACTTATGATCCTATTTATAAAAAAGAATCTAACTCCTAAATAAAAAGTTTGGAAAAAAAAGAAGATTTAGTGAAGTGACTAACAGAACAAGGCATTTATACTATGAATTGCCTTGCAGGTGATAGTTAAAACGTCAGTTTGCATTTGTAAAGAAATGGAAATAATGCGAATCTGTTTTTAGTGTAAACATTTGAGTTATTTTTTGTATTTTACTTTTGTAGCTGACAACTAGATTATTTCTAAATTTAGTATGGCTTAATTTTTGCTAGCAATATTTAAATACTATTAAGTAGGCTACTAATGGAAAGTATTCCTATATAGCCTACTTGGCCTACTATATATATATAATAGCTGTGAAGTATGAAGCAACTGTCCTATTTCGGCATAAAGAAAAGTTACAAGTATGACAAATTAAATTAGAATAACTCAATCCATAGAGTACTGACCAACATCTGTGTGTAGCTTCCTCTCCTGTCAATCAGAGCTGATGAAATGTTGGTACTAAGCCTATACTACTATGATTTCAATTTTAGAACCTGCAATACAGTTGAAGTGACATAGGCCTATCAGTGTCCAGTAATGCCAAAATAATGGAATTCTCTTTAAAAAAAAGAGTTGTCAGGTTACTGACTTCTGAAATACTATAAATAACATACTAATTGACTAACTCAGTAAACTCAAACTGGCTAACTACACACTCAGACTGTTCTAAACCAAAAAAATTAGGCCTACCCTACTCTATTACTAGATTTAAATTTATGAATATGATAGTTGTAGGACATAGATCTAGATCTAATTCTAGATCTACCAAACAACCATGATCATTGAAACATTAAAAATAAATTTCGTTTTGGAGTGAGTAGCAAATGCTACCACTCTGTGAGTCTGTAGACTACTCTTTTCACTTTTCAGACTTTTCTTTAGTAGAGTCATTACGACTCATTAGTCATTACTCATCATTAGTGACCCTAGCTAGTCAGTCTCAGTCTGTACAGTCCAGGGTCACTCCCTGTTTGTTTACAGTACTGTACTTAAACTTATTCATTATTCTAGTTTCTAGACTCTGAATCAGAGTCTGATTGAATCAGTAATCCGCAGTGATTCTAGACCTAGATCTTTTCTAGATCTAGTACTGAATTTCTAGATCTACTGATCTAGAAATCTAGATCTAGATCTAGATCTACTCGGCATCGGGGTGATGAATTGTATGAAATGTGATGTATGTATTATTAATTTATGTATGTACTAGATTAGATCTAGATTCTATCTAGTTCTAGATCTAGCCCTAAATCTAGTAGATCTAGTAGGACGTACACTTAAAATAAAATTGTTCCAATTTACAAACTACAACAATCAATAAAAAAAAACAACATCAAATAGTAAAAAGATGAAGCGGCAAAGTAAAAATAAAAACAAAGTTCGGAAATAAGATCCGACACATTGTGTTATTGTCTAGCTAGTAGCTAGGATACTGGGCTACTATTCTAGACAGGGTTAGTGTGTTCCAGAATTAATGTAGAAGTATTTAGCCCCCATATGAAAAAATAAAATATAAAAACTCGTTAGTCAATAACACCACAATCAATGTATTTGTATTAGTCTTTCTGCATGAATTATTAGAAAAATACGAGCTTATTTAATTTGGGACTATCCATCTGATCAAAAACAGTTTTAAGTTTTAACCAAAGTTGAAATTATATAGATATCTAGTTTTACTATTGGTTGTACCAGAAAAATGTATTTATTTCCGTGATAACTAGCGATTCTAGAAGTGTGTAAGCACTTGGTGACATGATCATGATTTTAAGGAGTCCAGGCAGTCCAGCTTTTTGTGAGGGGGGGGGGGGGTAGCCCGTTAGAAATTGGCTAAAAAAACTTGATTTACTCACCATAAAATCAGTGTTTCTTCCAGACTTTTTTCTCCGGGGGGGGGGGGGGGGTGGCTTTTGAAATTTTCGGGGGGGGGGGGAGCGGACACTAGTAAAAGTGTATGTTTACTATATAAAATCCATCCCGAAGTGATGCCTGGAAGAAACTTCATAAAATGTATCATCGCTGGGTTGACTGCCTATTTTTCTAACTTTATAATATTCTCACAGCACTCAAACTGTCACTAATATCATTAGTTATTTTTGCTAAATCAATGCTTTCACATGAGACTTACACAAGCTTAACATTTTACACTTTATGACTTATTTTCTGGTTCTTTTGTGTGTGCCAAAAAGCTGGCTATTTTAAGTTATTCCATCATTTTTTTTCACTCCCAGAGAGGAAACCACGTAATTTAAATTTTAAAGTTCACCCTTTAAACCTGGCAACCATTAGGGTAGATTAAGTAGAGTTCACCTGCATGTAAAGAGCTTCGTTACTTCTAATACATCCAACCACTTTTACTTTCTCTTAAGGTACCCATTACAGCCCAGCTGGATGGACTAAGAAACATAAACGGACTCCAGCCGGGTGTCTAAACTCAAACTTTTCAGGTTAACACTTGTACACTTTACCATGCTGTCCCATATGATTCAAACTCTAAAACTAAGTTGGTAGATATCATGCCTAGTTTTTAATTCAGTTGGCAAAGTAGAGCAAGAATGAGATTTTTGTCCTATCCAATACTAAGGTATTTATTTTTTTCTGCATATGTGCTTGCAACTATTTTTCTTCTATTCTTATAAGTTAAGAGGAGCAAAGGAAACATCTCATTGTTAAACCTGACATGTTTTTGTGATGTGGGGGACCAGAAACCTTAACCCACAAACTTTGTGTGGGGGAACAGGGACCTAAACCTGACAAGTTTGTGTGGGGGACCAGGGACCTAAACCTGCCAAGTTTGTGTGGAGGACCAGGGACCTAAACCTGCCAAGTTTGTATGGAGGACCAGGGACCTAAACCTGCCAAGTTTGTGTGGGGGACAAGGGACCTAAACCTGTCAAGTTTGTGTGGGGGACAAGGGACCTAAACCTGCCAAGTTTGTGTGCGGGACCAGGGACCTAAACCTGCCAAGTTTGTGTGGGGGACCAGGGACCTAAGCTTGCCAAGTTTGTGTGGGGGACCAGAGACCTAAACCTGCCAAGTTTGTGTGGTGGACCAGGGACCTAAACCTGCCAAGTTTGTGTGGGGGACCAGGGACCTAAACATGCCAAGTCTGTGTGGGGGACCAGGGACCTAAACCTGCCAAGTTTGTGTGGAGGACCAGGGACCTAAACCTGCCAAGTTTGTGTGGAGGACCAGGGACCTAAACCTGCCAAGTTTGTGTGGGGGACCAGGGACCTAAACCTGCCAAGTTTGTGTGGAGGACACAAACAGGAATTTAATACAATTAAAACAAGTTGTTCAAGCAATTCTAGGTCAACCTTTGCACAATAAAATAACAACATTGGGCCAACAATGGCACTACAACATTGAGCCAACAATGGCACTACAACATTGAGCCAACAATGACACTACAAGATTGGGCCAACAATAGCACTACAACATTGGCACTACAACAATGGGCCAACAATGACACTACAACATTGGGCCAACAATGACACTACAACATTGGGCCAACAATGGCACTACAACATTAGGCCAACAATGACACTACAACATTGGGCCAACAATGACACTACAACATTGGGCCAACAATGGCACTACAACATTGGGCCAACAATGGCACTACAACATTGGGCCAACAATGACACTACAACATTGGGCCAACAATGACACTACAACATTGGGCCAACAATGGCACTACAACATTGGGCCAACAATGGCACTACAACATTGGGCCAACAATGACACTATAACATTAGGCCATTAATGGCACTACAACATTGGACCACAATGACACTACAACATTGGGCCAACAATGACACTACAACATTGGGCCAACAATGGCACTACAACATTGGGCCAACAATGGCACTACAACATTGGCACTACAACACTGGGCCAACAATGGCACTACAACATTGGGCCAACAATGGCACTACAACATTGGGCCAACAATGGCACTACAACATTGGGCCAACAATGGCACTACAACATTGGGCCAACAATGACACTACAACATTGGGCCAACAATGACATTGGGCCAATAATGGCACTACAACATTGGGCCAATAATGGCACTACAACATTGGGCCAACAATGGCACTACAACATTGGGCCAACAATGACACTACAACATTGGGCCAACAATGGCACTACAACATTGGGCCATCAATGACACTACAACATTGGGCCAACAATGACACTACAACATTGGGCCAACAATGGCACTACAACATTGGGCCAACAATGGCACTACAACATTGGCACTACAACATTGGGCCAACAATGGCACTAAAACACTGGGCCAACAATGGCACTACAACATTTGGCCAACAATGGCACTACAACATTGGGCCAACAATGGCACTACAACATTGGGCCAACAATGGCACTACAACATTGGGCCAACAATGGCACTACAACGTTGGGCCAACAATGGCACTACAAAATTGGGCCAACAATGGCACTACAACATTGGGCCAACAATGGCACTACAACGTTAGGCCAACAACAGAAAGCTTCTCCAATTTTGTCAAGCTGGCAATTTTCAAATTTTTGGAAATTAGTGGTCAATAAATGTACATTAGATTTGAAAAATAATGTCAATGAATATGAGCATTATAGTAATATAAAACAACAATATGTGACTAGTACATTTTTCTCTTTACAGAGAATATTTTAATTTTTTTATCTTTATCCAACAAAACTTCCTCAATGTCAAACTGTTGAGACAGCATGCTGAGAAAGTTTGTGTCCCTGTCGTATCGTATCCTACATGATAGAAGAATTAAAACTTTGCCACTGGAAGAAAGAGAATTAATAGTCCTCAGCAAATCTTGAAATGTGTCTTCAATATAGATGATATCTGCTCCTAAAATAACATCCAAATCACTAAACCTCTGAGCGTCCACCTCTTCTGTCCAGTCTAAAACTTGAGCTGATATTTTCCATGATTTGTTGACTGTGTTTTTTTCAATGGTTGCTGATAAATGGTTCATAGCTACATCTCTCTCAGTGACCACAACTTCAGCACCTAGAATAAACAAAAAAAGTGAACACATATAGCATCAGCTGTTAAAGGGTTAACCTCAACCACTAAAGAGGAAAACTTGGGGGTAAATGTTACCTAAAGCAGCTGCTACCAGTCCTGTTAGCCCTGTTCCTGCCCCCAGCTCTAAAACTTTCTTCCCCTCTACCAAATGTTGATTTTTAGAGAGGTACTCTGCAAGAACTATTGCCTGTGGAACACAGAATGTATCAAATACATATTTACCATTCCATTGCATCAAAATATAACTATTAATTAAAAGTAGGTAATAATAGTTTAATGTAATATACTTTTAATAAGTAGCCTAAAAAACAGCTACTTAAAATAATTTAACACAACATTTAATAGCACTCTCATTTAGTTTCTAAAGAAATTAATGTTTGCAAGCCATATAAGGCAGGTTGAAAATTCTTAAAATAATCTAGTCCCATTTGATTTTACATTTATTTCTCTCACTGAGTCCTATACATCTGCTTCCATAAAAACTTACACAAGGGCATAAGAACACATTTATACTACATGAAGGAGTGGGGTGGTGGTTTATTTTATTATATAGGCTAAAGGGTGGCTCACAGCAGTGTTTTATAACCCTGCCTTTAAGATAATCTCACTCACCGAATCCCACACTACTGCTGCCACTCCAAGACCTTGCCAATCTTGTTCTATCAAGAAGTCTTGGTCAGCAATTTTGAAGTGGCGGCTTGATTTTTCATGAGGTAAAATGTTTTTTTCTTCATAAGGAACAATTGCTAAAGAAGTTGTGATCCCTTGGCCTTGTAAAGCCATCTGATTTGTATCTTCCAGCACCTTTCACCAGTCTGATCCTAAGGAGAACAATATATTTTAAAAAATTAAGTTATAAGTGGTTTGGAAAAACCTGTCGTTGTGTTTTATACAACGAGCTTTTTTATACTCATGGTCTTTCACTGGTGGCAGAAAGCTCTAACCAGTCAAATCAAGTTTGGAAATTGCTCCAAAAAACAAAGCCTCAAAACCACTAGGCCACACCATCCCATATAAACTGCCTACTCAGCGAGAAGAAAATACTATTAAGTAATATAGCCATGCTAACACCATATTTGTAATTGTATGTAGGAAAGCAAGTTTCATATTTTGCACACCCTTGTTAATTGTACATGATACAATTCATAACAGGAAAAATTGTTTCACCTGTTTTTATTCCACTATTGCAATGTTTAGAAACAAAATAGTAATTTAAGTTGCAACAAAAATTGTTTTTGTGTTCATGACAGACTCCAGTTTCATCAGATTCAGCTGAGTAGCTATGAAGATGACACACACACAACAAAAGCAAAACCTGGGTTGAAATTTTAAAAATAATTATCTCTTAATTAAACAACGTGATTGGGTTACATCAGCCTAATTCTATGAATTTGTTTAATAAGTGTGATTAATAAATGAGCTAAATAAGTTGTAAATTATTGCTCATGTTTAGAACAACTGGTTATTCAACTCACAAATCACTGATTTTGGTGAGTTGATTAGAACATTTCAGGGTAGGTTTCTCCAAAAAAAATGTTTTCTTTTTAATTTCACAAGGGCGGAGCCCCAGGAGGGTGCGGTATATAAAAAAAAAGTCGGATGCGGTTCAACACCGTTCATCCGAGTGCCATGAAACTTTGGAGAGTAAATGAGAACACTCACGATTAGATTGCGAAAAAAATTGTGATGGGTAGCGCCCGGGAGGGTGCGATTTTCATCAGTACACGGTTTGGCGCCCAGAGTTCCAGAGCGGGTATGTAAGCACTCGGCATCCTTTAATCGGGCGTCCTACATAACGGGTAAGGGGTACTACTATACTCAGCTGCAAAACTGTAACAGGCGCAGCCGCCGGCACCTCGTCGGTTGCACGACCTGAAGAGCCCCGGGCTCACCTGCGAGCAATGTGGTGCCTATGTTCGTTTAAAAAAAAGGCTTTATGCTAAAGACACGATGGACAACATTAATTGTTGGCTTAATCGAATCAGGACCGCCCTTACGCGCGCCAGCAGCGGCCGATTCAGGGCCCCGGGCTTAGCCGTGAGCACCAAGGCGCCTACTTTCATGTACGATACAATGGGTTTCTATAGTCGCTCTCTAAATCAAATCAGGCGCGTTATCTGGCGTCTCTGCTGGTGCAATTTGGCTACCCTGCGAGCACTACGCGCCTACGTTAGTTTTAAGGAGCACCCAACAATATTGATAATGTGGCACACAGCATTCGATAATTAAACCGAGCTAGGGGCTATTCGTGGTGTCCTGCGATAGTGGAATTGGGTTCACGAGTGCGTTACTTTCCATCCTCGACACTTAGGCGTTGAGTGATGAACGGTGATATTACGGTGAGTGATTAACTTACACCCAAGGCTTTCATACAGCACGCGATGGGGGTGGGCGGTAGTGTAGGTAAACCCGTGTCTCAATAAATATGATCCAAGCGCAGGCATTGTTTATATTTAAATAACTCAGTTTAAGAAAACAAGGAAGTACATTGAAAAATGGAGCAACTAAATATTCTAATAGAATAACGAGTGTTTATTGTTTATATTTATTACTGTATCGTTCATTACCGAGTGTTGCAGACTAACATTTTCATGAGTTTTAAAAAATAAAATAAAATAATTATTACTATTTGTGCATTGAGCTGAAGAGCCGCACCTTGACATCAAAAGAGCTGCATGCGGCTCGAGAGCCGCAGGTTGCCAACCCCTAGTCTATGGGGCACGTGAAGTATAGTTCACTTGTTTTCTCGCCATATGAAGAGAAAGTGTGGTCAGCACTATGCCCAGCCGCCTTTACTTTCCCTAACGTAAGTTAGGCAGTAGGTACCCATTAGAGTTGGGTGGTCTCAGGGACGGTCTACTGACTTGAACCCGGATTCGAACTCGAGACTTACGGGTCAGCAGTCCAGCTCTCTACTGCTAGACCACTCCGTCCGTAATGAATAGTAATTATTAAATTTAAAATTAAGACTAACTCTTAACTCAGTAGACCTTAAGTACTAGACTAGTAGACTAATATAATATAAAAATAGACTAATATTAAAAAAACTTTAAAACTTACAACTTGCTTCATTTTTTATTATTAATAATATTAATAATATTATTTTATTAAGTTAATATTTATCATATAATTCTAGATTTAGATCTGAAATAGAGAAGTCTCATTTCTCAATTGGTCAACAAAGCTACTCTCTGGTCTACTGTCCTCGTAGTGACGTAGTTTGTAGACAAGACACTTCAGTCACTCAGTGACTTTTTTAGTAAAGTTCAGTCAGCAGTCAGTGACAATGAGTATTGAGTGACAGGACTCCTACAATTCCTAGTCCTACGGACACGATGATTAATCTTGCTAGTCTAGACTTAGATTAGATTTCAAGCTAGGCAAGACTCACAAGTCTAGTCAAGATCTAGACTCTCTCTAGGTCTAAATAAATAAGTCTAGTGTGGAAGTGCTCGGTTGAAAATAAGGCATTGAAACGAATCAGTTTTGTATTGGATGGCAACACACATAGCCCTAAAAAAAAACCTTCGCATTTTAATACTCAAGTTCGAATTTTAAGTTTTAATTAAATTCAAAATACTTTGCTGTATACTATTATTAAGTAGTTAAGTAGATCTAGATTCTAGATGCCCTTAAGACTAAATATAGATCTAGAAATCCTTCATTTAGAGTTCGTTTCTTAAATGCCATTTGTCTGATACTTCTTACAATGATCAGAACGTGTAATGAGCTTTAGCACATTACCATTGAATCTAGAGATTCCAGATTTTAAAATTTTATCTGTGCTTGGCTAACTTTCAGAATTGCCACAGCAGTACATCTGAGCATTTTTTACAAGCTTTTATTTAACTTGCTCCCTCTGACTGTCTGTCTGTCTGTCTGTCTGTCTGTCTGTCTGTCTGTCTGTCTGTCTGTCTGTATGTATGTATGTATGTATGTATGTATGTATGTATGTATGTATGTATGTATGTATGTATGTCGTGCTTCAAAACAGCCGAGCTAAATTCAGATCACTGCTAACTGACCGATTCGTTTTAAACTTGGTCAAGACCCGATGACAATCTGGCTTCAAATTTGACTTAATAGAATGCCTAATTAGTTTTTATGAATTAATTAAAATTTTCGATTGTACGTGCAATAGTTATTATTCCTACAACTTTATTGTATTAAAAAAATTTAAGTAACCTACTGAAAAAATTCATAAAAAACGTTTTCATAAGGAGCTTTTATTTAATAATGCACTAAAAAGTAGAAAACAAATAATTTTTCTTTAAATATATAATAATAAACTACTATTTAAATAACTACAAAGAAAAGCCTGGGTCACTGTATTATCTATTGGATACCTTTACTAATGTTTAGGAAGAAGAAAGTCTACCGCCCCCCCCCCCGAACAAGATGAAATTTATATAGTAAATATATACTTTTACTAGTGTCCGCCGACCGCCCCCCCCCCAATATCAAGTGCCCCCCCCCCCCCGGAGAAAAAAAGTCTGGAAGAAACACTGGTTAGATTGCATTGTCTTCATGTCTTGACCCACATGCCAACTTTGAATCGTATCAATTAGTTAGAAGAGCCCGAAATTTCGCTTGGGCGTTTCGACCTAGACATATTGACGACTGACGACAGACAGAGGAAGCAAGTTAAATAAAAGCTTGTAAAAAAATAATAATTTCATAACAAGCTTTTATGTATTATGTGGCCTCCCCCAAACTTTCTCGAATATTCTTAGAATACGCTATTTAGTATTTAATCAATTTTTACCTACTTAAACTTTTTAAAATAGTTTAGTTTAGAACGTCGTAGAAAAGATAATTTTGCACCAAGTGAACAGCAAACAATTCGTGTATAATAGTGCGGAATATTACTACTTTATAAATTCATATGCGTTTTAAAAAAAATCGGAAATAGTGTAAAGTACTACTTGACCGAAGGCAGAAAAATAGATCTCTTACTCAATGGCGTAGTCAGGAGGGGGGGGGATTAGGGGGGGTCATAACCCCCCCCCCCCCCATAGACCCCTCGGTATATATATAAAAAGTATGAGTGGGCGCAAATCGAAAGTTTAAGGGGGGTGCAAATCGAAAGTTTGGGGGGGGGGGGGTGCAAATCGAAAGTTTGAGGGGAGGGGTGCAAATCGAAAGTTTGAAGGGGGGGGGGTACAAATCGAAAGTTTGTCCCCGGGTAAAAATTGGAACCACCCCCCCCCCCTTGAGACGATCCTGGCTACGCCACTGCTCTTACTTATATTTGAAATTTCGTTTATCTATCTGAAACAGTACTCAAGTAAATGACTTTTGAAAAACCAAAAGTAGAATAAGTTCCTCCTCTTGTTCCTGTTACCGGAAATCGCTGAAAAGTTGATACAGAACTACACATTTGATGTAATCCTTATAATATATATGAAATTCCATAGCTGTAACGGTACTCAAGTTATGTGTTCACAGACATACACACACAGACATACGGACAAAATTGCATGCATCTCCCCGAAGAGATGCATGGAAGAAACTCTGGTAAACTTAAGAAACCAAACAGGGTAGGGCCTCTTATGCGACAGTTTAGGATAACCGTTCTGCAACCGAAGTTGCTAGGGCAACTTGTCTCTTCATCTAAAGTCCCCGGGAGCTCTGAAGATTTCTATTCTCTTTCTATTCATTGTATGCTGTGGCAAAACGTAGACATATAGGCTATATGATTTAAAAAACAAACAAACAAAAAACAAGTAATTTAAAAAAGTCTAGTGACAATTTTAGCGCAATTTCCTTATGTTATCTAAAAATAGCTCTGTCGTAGCGTAAATCAAGAGCAGGGTTAGTAAAACCATTGGTTAGTTATTAAAACGTTTTTTATTAATATTTTTTTTCAGTATTTTACATGTTTTATTTACAATAGAGTAACATGACTAAAAACCATTGCGCGCCTAGCTACCGAACGTGATGTCGCAGCCATTGAACGTGATGGCGCAGCTATTGAACGTGATGACGCGTGTGGTGTGGTTGCATAAAATGCCTACTAATTCGGTCCAAATTTTAATAAATTCAAAATTATTTTTTTGACCAAACGAAAGGATATTTTTGAAAACTTTCTTCGGCAATATTGTTCTAAATATGGCAGGAATCGATTGGTACATGTTTCAAGTCGCTAAGTGGTCTGGTTGCCGAGATATGGGCCAAAAACTGCATTTTTTCGAGGTTTTTTGGCTTTTCCAGGAAATCCATGAAAGAAACCCGGAATTTTTTACAAGCTTTTATTTAACTCACTTCCTCTGTCGTCAGTCGTCAGTCTAGACGGAAACGCAGGAGTGAAAATTCAGACAGTTCTACTTGACCGACACGATTCACAGTTGGCACGTGGGTCAAGACATGAAGACAATGCAATCTGAATCTAAATTTGACTTAATTGGATGCCTAATTAATTTTTTATGAATTAATTAAAATTTGGACCGAATTAGTAGGCATGTCTAGCCAACCACACCACATGCGTCATCACCCTTAATAGCTGCGCCATCACGTAATGGCTGCGTTCAAAAACCATTGCGCGCATACTGAACGTGATGTTCAGTAGGCGCGCAATGGTTTTTAGTCATGTAACTCTATTGTAAATAAAACATGTAAAGTACTGAAAAAAAAAATTCATAAAAAACGTTTTAATAACAAGCTTTTATGTAATGATGCACTAAAAAGTAGAAAATAAATTATAGACTACTATTTAAATAACTATAAAGAAAAGCGTGGGTGTCTTCCTTAACATTAGTAAAGGTATCCAATAGATACTAAAGTGACCCACGCTTTTCTTTATAGTTATTTAAATAGTAGTCTATAATTTATTTTCTACTTTTTAGTGCATCATTACATAAAAGCTTGTTATTAAAACGTTTTTTATGAATTTTTTATGGCCTATGTTCATCCTCGTAACTTGCTTAACATAATTGTTTTTGTAACTAGTCATCGATATTGCTTCGTTGAGGAGGAGATACGACTTAAAGCTGCGGACACACATCCATACATTCATCCATCCATCCAGAAATGACGGGTTAATAAACGCAATTCTCCAGAATGGAAATTGCGCTAAAAAAACAACAGAAATTGCAAACATTCAATTAATGGTTTATTTTTAATACAATATTCACCTTAATTCTATTTCCCTTATTTTAACAGTGCAGCATAATTAAAACAATTATTCACGGCTTTTAGTATGCATGTAAAAAAAAAAAATTTGAAAAAAAAAAAAACTTGGTAAATCTGTAAATCTAAACTAAGGGAATGAAGCAGGATTTCCTATGAGTTTGTAGCCCTTATATTCAGTTTTATTAACATAATTATATACATGCCTAGAACTATATCTTAATTTTACACAAGGGAAACAACTAAAACACTACATCTCAGTCCTGGTTTCAGTCCATTTGTCTGGAAGATGTGCATTGTTTCTTTCAGGCATCTTTCTGGGCAGGGAGGGAGGGGGGTTGTAACTCTCACAAAAGAAAAAAAATATATAATTTATTTAAAAAGTATAAACTTTAGTCTCCAACCCCCCCCCCCCCACCCACTTTGGGTATGTCTGAAAGAGAGATGTGGTAATAGTTTTAATAAATATACATATATATTGAAAATGAACATTTTGTACAAGTACTAAAACCTTCGCATTCAAGTTGATAAGTATACACAATTTCAGTTAACTGGCTGCTGTTATAATCCAAGGTAACTGTTAAGTCACTGAATGTGGCCAACATTACTTAAAGCAATATGCACAGTGTCACCCTGTTTGTTTATATACTGTCTTAGGACAGTCATTTTTTTTTAAATTTAAGCTCCACCTGAACACACACAAATAGGAAACTTATACATTTATATGGTCATATACACATACATAGCATTTATATATAATGTGAAAGACTGAACAAATTTAAAAAAATATTCCTCTTTCGCCATTACTGTATAAAAATTTAAAATATCAGGATAATAACAGTTTGATTAAGTAAAATCATTATTCACACCTTATATCCTAGTTGTGGGCTACATAGATGAATCACAACTTCTCTGTTGACTCGAAGTTTTGTCCTGCATTTACAAAAATTTATTTTTAACTTTTAAATTTATGTTGTATCTCTTTTTTGCCTTAAAGTCTTTATAAATATATCTTAGCCTAACAGTTCATTTTAAATTTATTTTAAAATCCAAATAATAATTATACAGCCAACTGGTAATCTGAAAATTCTTTTGTTTCAGTTTGTTTCTTCTACTTAATTTGATTTCATCCTATTTCAGTTGTACTTTTTAATTATTCATAATCATTCAGGTCAGCTTTCACTTTCCCCTCCACCCCATGTTTCATAGTCATAATGCTTTTGGTTTTCTGTTTTCTCCTTCAGCTTTTTTCTTTCCAGTTCTACAGTTGAGATGCCATCTTGGCTGTTGGAGTCTGACCTTTGAACCTGGGGTGATGACTCACTTAATTCAATGCCATCCGGTATTATCTGACTTAAAGATTGCTAGAAAAAAAATTTATAAGTAAGTACTGTTAATTATCATAAAGTTGATAAAATAGTTATTAATTTTTTTTTTAAATTTAACATGTATTTTATAAGATGTAACAAGATAAAAATATTGATATTCTTTCCATAAAATTGTTAGAATTATTACAAAAAATAATATCATTTAATCATTTTTTAATTATTTTGTAAAAAATCATTAGACATTTTTTTGTGTGGCTATTCTAGTTGGTAGTGAAAAAAAAAGGGGGGGGGGGTGCTTTACATCTCAGTGCAACAAATATTTCTACACTGACCTATCAGATCACAAATACTGATTGGCTATAGGTGTTCGTAAACAAATGCTTATGACAAATACTTAAAATAAGGTGGCCAGACAAAATATCAAACAAATTCCTGTGGCAAATTTTAAAGCAACAGTCAATAGAAAAAGATATCAAGGCCCGTAAATGGGGATGGATTGGACATACGTTACGAAGAGAAAAAGAAAATATCGCAAAACATGCTATGGACTAGAATCCCTAAGGAAAAAGGAAAGTGGGCCGGCCAAAGAAAACATGGAAAAGAACAGTTGAGGAAGAGGCAAAAACAGCTGGTCTCATATGGGCACAGATTAAGGGAGCAGCCCAAAACAGAGTCAGCTGGAAATGTGTAGTTGCAGCCCTTTGCTCCCCAGGGGCCACAAAGGAATGATGATGATGATCTATCAGATCAGCAGTCACTTCTACTGACCACCACAAGTTCTTCTCAATGTTTGTTTACATACAGTAACAAAAGATGGAGAAAAGCCAAACAGTAAAACTTACTGGTAATGCCCTCCCTTTGGTTTCGATTGGTAACAGTAAACAACAAATGCTGCAGAGAAAACACAGAACTCCATACACCCAGATTGCTGAAGCAATAGATGTAGATAACAAAACCTGGAAAAAAAAGTTTTCTTTTTTACAAAAAAAGTTTTCTTTTTTACAAAAAAAGTTTTCTTTTTTACAAAAAAAGTTTTCTTTTTACAAAAAAAGTTTTCTTTTTTACAAAAAAAGTTTTCCTTTTTACAATAAAAAAATTTGAAAATAACAAAAACTTAGTAACTAATAATGTATACATTAAAAAAAATTCTTTACATTTTTATTTTTATTTAGTACACAAACATTTCTGAATTTGTAACCTTTAATTGTCAGCATGATTGTTTTGTGTACCACTTACTTGTGCTATAAAAGGTGTTATCATGGCACCCAGCCTAGCAATGGCTGATGCCACGCCCATGCCTAATGTTCGGATAGATGTTGGATATAGCTGGAAACAATTTAAAAATATTAACTGGAATTGTTCTAGTTTAGCAAGCGAATAATAATTTTAACATTAGAATTAAAACATGAACATGAAGTTTATAATGATTTGAAGAATTATAGAATTATTATAGGCTTAAATCACAGTGAATATTATTGATACAATTTTTGTTATATGGCATCTTAATAATTACCTCTGATGAATAAATGTATGTGAAATAGAAGGTAGCTGAGCCAAAACCTCTGACAAAGAACAGTAACATGGTCAGAACTCCTAAACTGACTTTGAGTTGAACTAGAACAAAGAAGAAACCAGTTCCAAAATAGCAGATGGCGCCCGTGTATCGCCTTCCAATTTTGTCCATTAGAATAAAATTTATGGGCAAGCCTGTGAAATATTCAGTTATTTTTAATTACAACAAGAAAACAGTTTCATTTACAATGCTAAGCAATTGTAAAAATTGTATCAGCAAAAATTAACAAAAGAAACAACAGAAAATAAATAATATAATGTAATAAAATACACAAAATATGTAATTGTAAAAGTATCAAATGAAAAACAACTTACTGATTAATTCTCCTAAGGAGGAGAGCAGCATTGTTGTGTAGTCATCAGAGGTTAGGTATGAACACTTACAATGAGAAGTTTCTAGAGATAAAAAACAAGTTAACACAAAAGTATCAGTTATTAATATTGTATCTGTTGCTACCATTATTGAATAAATGGAATAAAATAAATTGAATATCTTCTAATGCGATGTTGTGTAAATTTGTGGCATGACATAAAAATACAAAAATCTGTGGGTAGGTTAGTTGTTGGACCGGTTAGCTGTCTAAGCCTGCTGTGTGGAGTGAATAGAAAAGGATTATGTAAGGACAGGTGGATACATAATGGAACTTCTCAGTTGTGAATCTTGTTGAAGTTCATGGTGCTGAGGTAGTATAGTTCAACACTTTGATTAGTCTACTGCCATTACTTTCACCCAGATTTGGGTAGACTCATTAATCATTAAAAGCCTTTAAATTTATGATTCATTTAGTTTTGTAGCGACCGTGAACTTACTCTCTTCATTTCTGATTCTCAAAATTTCTGTACTTGCAAGTAACACGCCGTAGTATGTGAAGGCTATACCAAACCATAGCATCCACAGCTGTAGGGTGGAGCGCAGGTACTCCCGACTGAACAGGTCTCTCAACCGACCCAAGGGAATCTGGATAGAAGTGGTAGGGCTTAATTTATTGAATGGTTAGCTGAGTTTATGTTTACCAACACTGGGACAATTGTTCATTTTATTTTATTTTATTGAAACACAACAACAAACTAAAGAACCTACACTAAGTATTTTATGACTGTAAGCTCTATGCCATAATATTTCAATGCCTCCCCACAAAATCATATTTAAGTAAGCTAACAGAAATGTTAATTAAAATCTATTGTCATGTCAAATTCATATTTATATTGTACATGTAGGTCAATTGTGTTAAAAATCATCACATCCTTACTATGTTGAAGCTATGCAGTGGTTTGATAGTAAGTGTGTTTAAATTGTCTTTCACTTATAACTTGTGTAACTTACTTTTATCTGTGTAAAATAAAATCCTAAATGATTTTTTAAAAATGTATGGGTTCCTAAGTACCCAAAAAGTACATACATTCAGAGGCGTAGCGACATTCTCCAGCACCAGAGGCGAACTATAAATTTTATTCCCACTCTTAATAATATATAGTAGCTCAAGTGTGAAAAAATGCTATAGGCCCTACAGTAAAATTATGGTAATTAACTAAAAATCCATAATGTATGTAGATCTAGATTTTATACAGTCAATAGCAGTCAAACACAAAACTTACATTACAAGATTGTACTAACTTTCCTTCTGGTAGTTTGCTTTTATTTATTTTTGCTGCCTCCTTTAGAATGGTAAGTGCATTATCAATATAACCTGCAGCTGCAAGAAATCTGGCAGATTCTGGTATAAACTGTTAGTAAAAATAAATAATTCAATGTCAGGGTTTGCTATTTAAAGCTAAAACTAAAATATCAGCTAATTATGCTGCACTTCCAAAACTTACCTATTTTAAAATTTAGAATTGTAAAGAAAGTCATCTTTCCATTACTAATTCAGCCCATATTTAAAATATTTTTTATTTATTACCTGGCTAAGAACGAAATTTATTTTATCCCAAAAATACAAAATTTATGAAGGAAGGATAACTGAAGCTAGATGTAAGCACCACCCCAGATTACCATATGGCAGTGAGATTTTAAAAAAAGTATTTTGTAACTAAAACTCCCAATTTATTTTAACTGAGTTTTTAATAGTCACTATTGTCATTATAAAAAATAATAAAACAATACAAACATCTACTGGCCCTACTTTTTAACAGTGTTAAAAGTTAATTGAATATACACATAATATACCAAAATAAAACAACTCTTTAGCTTGTCTTATGGTAGTTTCACATGCAATGTATGTTGGACTCAAACTTACAAGCAGCCCGACACAGCAGACGAGAGCTGGGATTGCCGAGATGGCCAACAGCCACCTCCAGCCCAGGGACGGGACCACCACCATGGCCAGGCTAATCTCAAACACAGACCCCAGCGTCCAAAATATCTGGCAATAAGTATCAATTCTTTAATTTAATGCCATTTTAAAAAGAATAGCAGACAACTATAAACTATAATTTTTTTTTTTAAAGTCTAACTAAATTAAACAATTGGTGAAATGAAAATTGTGTGCAATAGGTAATAATTGTGAGTGATATGGCCATACATTGTTTTTAAAAAAATATATTTAATTGACGTTTAAAAATAAAAGCGACTTTGCCATACAAACCAATAACATGCAGCTGCAGTCATACGCAGTGTGAATTTTGGTGGCTTTGGTATAGACTAGCATTTTCTAATTATCTCCCATGTAACACGAAGCATATATTCAAGGGAAACTACTTTGAATTCTCATTGTCAACAAGAGAATACAAATATGGTGTGGAGAATACAATATTATTTTATTGCTAATTATCTGTACTTATGGTAATTGCACTAATTGCATTAATCAATTAATGTCGAACATTAAGAAATTATATGAATTCGCACAACCACACACGCACACACCGACATGTGAAGACGTTCTACCATGGGGAAGTGGTCGGGGTAATATATAGTGTATATTGTGTAAACGCACTAAGCATCTTGGGTAAGAGCATCGCACAATATTACCTGTTGAGCTACAGGTAAATATCTATGCTGAACTCACCGTTCCAAAGACGAGTAGCTTGGCTCGGTATTTTGATGGGACGTATTCTGCATTCAGTGAGAACCTAGAAGATAGTTATTTGTGTTGTTACATACTAAATAGAATAAAACAACGTGCTAACGTAATTTAAAAACAAAAAACAATGAATAAACATTGCATTAACCTAATTTGAAAAAAAACTATCTGTATAAAACATAATTTATCAAAATTAAGGAAAGTGGGGTCGGCGTGGTCGAGTCGGCAAAAGCTCATAGTTGCTAAACCGAAAAGTCTCGAGTTCGAACCCTTTGGCAGATGAGGCTCGTTAGCTGGGGACAGCCACTCTTCTAGGAGAGACAACTCCAAAATCAAACAACTGCTGCCTTGTAGTTTGTTCTTGGTTGGACAAAGACTATGGAAGCAAATCCAAAAAGAAAAGCAGGCTGAAATCGGAGTCAATGGCGCATAACCAGTTGACACGTATCCTTAATAATTGTGATGGAGGCATGGGCGAGTCGGCTAATGCTCATGGTTGATAAATTGGAAAAAGTCTCGAGTTTGAACCCTCTGGTAGATAAGGCTCGATCCCTTCCAACACTAAAAATTAAGAACGAAGAAGAAGAAGAAAGAAGAAGAGGACAGTGATACGAAAAAAAATCAAGTTTAAGTTTGTTTTTTATTTTAAAAAAATATTTTTTCGCTTAGTTAAAATAATTAAGTTAAATAATCAGGTAAGAAAACCATTAGTAAGCTGGCACTGACCCCTGATGTGACCCACCCATGCCAAGACCAACAAGACCCCTGAGAACAACGATCCAACTGTAGGACGGACTGAAGGTCGTCATGAAGCCGAAGTAGCCAATCCACAGCGTGATCATCACTAGAACCTAGAGACATGAAGTAAGATGGCGGACTTTGTATGGGGGACATGGAGGAACATGGCGGACTTTTGTATGTGGGAACATGGCGGACTTTTGTATGGGGGAACATGGCGGAGATTTGTATGGGGAACATGGCGGAGATTTGTATGGGGAACATGGCGGAGATTTGTATGGGGAGCATGGCGGATATTTGTATGGTTAGATATGGAATGAAAACATTGAGCATAATACTAAATGTTTAAAAAAACTTAAAAATCCACTTTATGGTGTGGTTTTTAAAATTGTTTATAGCTAATGTGAAGTAAATAAAGTGAATATAAGTAACTAGCATTTAAATGCACTTAAATAAGAGAAATACAAATAAAACTAACTTTCTTTAAAATATTTGTTTTCTAAAAAAAACGTACAGTTTTTCTACCGTAGTTATCTCCCATCATGCCTAGCAAGGGCGCTGAAATACCCATGCCCATGAAAACAGCCTGAAAAAAATATTATTCATGAAAGCAGGAGAAAATTTTCTTCAAACCATCTACCAAAAGCTGTGTAAGAATGACCGTTGTGATGAAAGTAGAATGCAACTGACCGTTGTGATAAAAGTAGAATGCAACTGACCGTTGTGATGAAATGTGAATGTGATATGCAACTGACCGTTGTAATGAAGGCCACCTTGTAATCCTCCAACTGCCACTCACACCTGACCAGCGGAGACAACACGGCCAGTATCATCATCTCCATGGCGTCAGCTGCCTACAACAACAAAACAAAAACTTGTGTCTGTGTTCCATTTTACAAGTAAACTGCCAACTGAAGAAGAGATTCTCCAGAGAAAATGGAAATAGATTGGCCACACACTCAAAAAGCCTGTTTCAGGCATAACAAGACAACCCCTCACCATGGAATACACAGGACAAAAGGGGGAAAAAAAAGAAAAAGAAAACAAGATAATAAAAAGTCTAGTGACAATTTAAGCGCAATTTCCTTATGTTATCCATTACAATTTTTAATTTTTTGTGACCGAACGAAAGGATATTTTTTTGCGCTAAAAAAAAAGACAACTATATTAACCTATATCAACGGAAATAGTTTTATTTTAACGAGTAGGCCTACACGATGCTCAGTTTAAAAAAAAAGTAGTAAATATCATCCTAGGCCTACACGATGCTCAGTTAAAAAAAGTAGTAAATATTTTTTGTGACCGAACGAAAGGATATTTTTGAAAACTTTCAATCGATTGGTAAATGTTTCAAGTCGCTAAGTGGTCTGGTTGCCGAGATATGGGCCAAAAACTGCATTTTTTTTTCGAGTTTTTTTCCGGGAATTTTTTTGGCACACAATCATCCTCGGAACTTGCTTAACATATTTGCTTTTGGAACTAGTCCTCGATATTGCTTCGTTGAGGAGGAGACACGACTTAAAGCTGCGGACACACATCCATCCATCCATCACCAGAAATGACGAGTTAATAATCGCAATTGTCCAGTATGGAAATTGCGCTAAAAAACAGACCGAGGAAGACCGGGAGACGTGACCTAGAAGAAGACACCAACAAAGATTGGATGCACCTGGGGACAGTTGGAGAGACTAGCCCAGGACACCTGGGGCCAATTGGAGAGACTAGCCCAGGACACCTGGGGACAGTTGGAGAGACTAGCCCAGGACACCTGGGGACAGTTGGAGAGACTAGCCCAGGACAGGATACACCTGGGGACAGTTGGAGAGACTAGCCCAGGACACCTGGGGCCAATTGGAGAGACTAGCCCAGGACACCCGGGGACAGTTGGAGAGACTAGCCCAGGACATCTGGGGACAGTTGGAGAGACTAGCCCAGGACGCCTGGGGACAGTTGGAGAGACTAGCCCAGGACACCTGGGGACAGTTGGAGAGACTAGCCCAGGACACCTGGGGACAGTTGGAGAGACTAGCCCAGGACACCTGGGGACAGTTGGAGAGACTAGCCCAGGACACCTGGGGCCAATTGGAGAGACTAGCCCAGGACACCTGGGGACATAGGCCTATGTCCCAGGAGGGGCGACAGGCAAACCTTACATCATTTTTTCCCGTCGTGCTCAATACACCTGGGGATAGATGAAGTAGAGTTCATCTGTTTCAACTACTTCGACTTCAGGGACAGTGAGGTCACCGTATGCTAAGCCACCTTGTTTCCCTAACATGTGTCAGGTACACATCAGAGTCAGGTACATATCAGAGTCAGGTACACATCAGAGTCAGGTACACATCAGAGTCAGGTACACATCAGAGTCAGGTACACATCAGAGTCAGGTACACATCAGAGTCAAGTACACATCAGAGTCAGGTACACATCAGAGTCAGGTACACATCAGAGTCAGGTACACATCAGAGTCAGGTACACATCAGAGTCAGGTACACATCAGAGTCAGGTACACATCAGAGTCAGGTACACATTAGAGTCAGGTACACATCAGAGTCAGGTACACATCAGAGTCAGGTACACATCAGAGTCAGGTACACATCAGAGTCAGGTACACATCAGAGTCAGGTAAACTAAGGGACGTCTTACGAGCCCGTGATTCGAACTCAATACTTGCGCACTAGCAGGCATATGCTGTACAATCCGACCACACAGTCCACTAACGTTTTACATTGCATGCCCTATATTACTTATGCTTAAAATTTTTAATAACCACCCCCCCCCAATTCCTGTACTTACCGCGATAAGTTTGCCGACCACAAATATTTTAATCTGGAACCAGCCAAAGCCGATGGACTCTATGGCGTCTTCCACAGTGAATGTTTCCACGTCAGCGCCCGTAAGGTCGGCCCCTCCTGTGCCATTTGGTTTGGATTTGACACGTTGCCTGGTCGGCGATTCGACATATTGCATCTTCCGTGTCCGTCTTTCTGGGAGTTCTAGACAGATTTACTGTGCAGGTTGATACTGCAGCTTCCAATGTTACTTCGGCATGTATCTGCTAGTTTTCTTTGCAGGATTAGCCAGTAGTCTCTAGACAGGTTTTCTTTGCAGGTTTAGCCAGTAGTCTCTAGACAGGTTTTCTTTGCAGGTTTAGCCAGTAGTCTCTAGATAGGTTTTCTTTGCAGATTTAGCCAGAAGTCTCTAGACAGGTTTTCTTTGCAGGTTTGTTATGAGACTCTACAGGTTCTGCCTGAAATAAAAATAAAAATGTATGATTGCATAGCTTGGCACGATACAGCACAAGATAGGGGAGGGGGGGAGCAAGATGTGAGGCGGCAGCTCAAACTTTAGTGCTTGTCACAACTTGATAAAACTACACTACCACGTACCACGTGATGCTTGGTATAATGTAAAGCTAGCAGTAAAGAATGCAACCTTAAGACGCCGATATTTTAAAGTCCCATCATACCGTTAACAACACGCAAGGGCCTTAACTCACTTAGCTATTAGTTAAGGTAGAGAAGTGGGACCCACTGCTATTTGATAAAGGCCAAGCAATTTTTAGTTAGGATTCAGGAACATAAAAGCAAAGTAAATTAAGCCAAATTTGTATTTAAAAAATGGCTTCATGTTAAACACCATGACCGATGCTATTGAAGCTTAGCTTTTGTAAGGTTACGTAACAAAAAAAAATATAAGCCTAAATGATACTGTAATGTAAAGGTTTCTTTTATTTTCCTTAACAGAATGTTAGATCAAATAGCTAAATAAAATTGAATCATATTAATTTTAAGTCTGTATTTGGGAAAAATAATGTCCCTTCCCCGCCCCCCCCCCCAACAGGCCCTCGTTTATTTGGCGTCGGTAAATGATTGCGCCCAAGGCGACCCAACCCTCCACACGCTAACTGGGCCGTGTAATGTGGCGATTGAACAAAATATTTGCTTTAGCGGAGCGTGTATGAAAACATCTCTAACACAACGACCGAAGCCTAGACCCAGTCACACCCTTGTAAAATTCAGCTACCTTGTGTCACCGACTGAGGAGACAACAATATGAGTTGTTCTTTTTAACAAGATTAATCGCCAAAATAATTTTTCTCGAGAGATAACAAATTACATTTTTCTTAACTCAGCCTGTTCTGTATAAAGGACACTTATATATTACATATCGCATATAACACATACATAGGATCTCTGAACCCACCCCACTACCCCATATAACTTTATATAATAATACTATGCTATTATAAACCACAAAGAAGCTTGTATAATAAATCTGGGCATACCCCCTTCTCCACTTCACAAAACCACGTAAGTAAGCTGTCAAAGTTTATAACTTAAAGAAACAACCTGTATACACCAGCTTACAGCGGGTGGCTTGTCTACAATTATTCCCAGAGACACAGATTCTGATCCCAAAAAAATCGGAACAAAATCTAAAGGCGGTGTTGTTGCCTCCGTTCCATCGGCTACCAACCCATTCCCTACACACAAGCTATACGTTCATGACACCCTCCCCCCCTCTTCGTGCTTACATGTGCATGATCACTGATCCTGTGTGCAGCATGCGACATACTGAAGGGTTACAGCACACATGCTTCGTACAACTGATGCGCAGACTTCAATTAAAACCCCCATCGATTGCCTCACTTGAAAAGCTTGTTTTTGTAATAAAAATAGACACTGAATGTCGAAGCTATTTGTAGCAAGGTCTATTTACATTCAGTCACGTGGGCAGTCGTCATCGCGTGATGTAACTATGTACACACACACACACACACGCACGCACACACACGCACACACACCCATACACACACACGCACGCACATATACACGAACGCACATACACATACATAGGCACGTGTGATGTTTGATGTAACTATGTACACACACACACATGCACACACACACACATGCACGCACACACACACACACAAACACGCACGCACGCAAACAAACCATACACAAATACACACGTTAAATAGTTGTGTAAGGGAAACATTTTTTTCTAATTGTATGCACTCCCACCCACATTTATTTTAATATCAAGCTGTGGGCTGTAACATTTTACTTTCATTTGTGCCGTTGTGTCTAAAAATCGATTTACATCGACACAATGAATATTTACACTTCATTCAACGGGACTCAATTAAAGAAATTAAAACATGCATAAAAACCTTTACAATAACAAGTTTAAAACGCAGTCCAAATAAGAAAACAAAATGTGCGAGGGATTTTTTTATGCGCGAAATTTTCCAAATTAAAACAAATCTCAATATACGAATTTCCAATAAAGAACTTGAAATGAAGGCTTTTAGTGTAATAGCGTCCAATGTAAGATCTTCCAAAATAAGATCTTCCAAAATAAGATCTTCCAAAATAAGAACTTTCAAAATAAGAACTTTCAAAATAAGAACTTCCAAAAATAAGAACTTCAAAAATAAGAACTTCCAAAATAAGAACTTCCAAAATAAGAACTTCAAAAATAAGAACTTCCAAAATAAGAACTTCCAAAATATTAATTTACAAAATATTAATTTACAAAATAAGAATTTCCAAAATAAGAATTTCCAAAATAAGAACTTAAAAAATAAGAACTTCCAAAATAAGAATTTCCAAAATAAGAATTTCCAAAATAAGAATTTCCAAAATAAGAATTTCCAAAATAAGAATTTCCAAAATAAGAACTTTCAATACAAGACCTTCCGAGTTACCAACTTTCTAGTAATTCATTTTCCGAGCTACCAACTTTCTGAATTACCAACTTTCAGAGCTGAGCTACAAAAAGTCGCCTAGACATTGGCGTCACGAGGTGGCGCTACATCCATATATAACAACAGAGCTTTCAACCCAATCCTGCATTAGAATTACTGTGTTGCACACATTTTTTAGATCTTTTACAACGAAACACAACAAAAGCATGTCAACAAATCCGTCTATATACCCTAGGCGCACGCTATGAATCTCCAGCATGTATGAGTGATTAAAGGCCATAAATAGACATGCTGTAGCGCGCGACTAATCCTTTTAATCCTGATAGAAAGTCACTAATCTATAATATAATCGGGCTGAGCGTGTCCTTCCGTCCGTCATCGCTATAGATTTTGGGACTATAAAAGTAAGCTACGCACCATGCTGTGCTTTTCAGTGCACCGCAGTGTCTTATTATAAGTATTAGAGTAGGGTTTGTTTATATAGCGGCATAGAGCTAATTTATAATTTCCACTGTTTGTACAATTTTGCATAACGTAAAGAGAATATTAAATACACGCACATTGCTAAAACATATTAAAAGGATCAATGTCAAATATAGTTTTCGTTAATATTCCCAGAAAAAGTCGATACATATTAATAACATAATAACAGTACGGTAGAAAAATCTAATTAAACTGCTTAGTAATTATGCCAATGGAGGTAATTCAAAGATAAATTGAACTCACGCTAAAAATGTGAATGCAAAATCTGCAAGACGGAATAATTGTTGGAATAATATAATTAGCAAAATGTGAATGCAAATTATGCAGACATGTAAGAGTAGATTATTGTTGGAATATTATTATTAGCATTGATTGATAAAAGGCTATCTTTTATTTATTTTATTCACTGAATGTACTGTTTACTAATTATAATTTTTAATCAACTATTCTCCATTACTATATTAAGTCATCACGTTCATTAGGTGCGCAATGGTTTTAGTCATGAAACTTTATTGTAAATTTTTAAAAGTACTGAAAAAAATGCATGAATTTATAAAGTGCAATATGGTCGGTAAAACACGGATATTCTAAATACTGCCTTTAATTTATTTGCGGAAAAGCTAGGGGTTTTATAACAGAGGCGTAGCAAGAGGTGGGGGGGGGGGGGGAGGGGGAGGGTGGAAATCGAAAGTTTGAGGGAGGTGGCAGGGTGTAAATCGAAATTTTCCGCCGGCGCTCGGAAAGGGCGCGATTTGGCGCTACGGGATAGACTGTGAGCAATATGCCTTTATGATTACATTTAAATTGAGTTTATGTTGAGTGTTGTGTTTGTTTTTTCGTTTTTTGTTTTTTCTTTGCGTTCGTTTGTGTTGTATTTAGTTTTGTTCTGTTCCCAACTTGGTACATTTAAAAAAGATTTACCGTGTGTTGTGGTTGTGGTTGTGTTGTGGTTGTGTTGTGGTCGTGTTGTGGTTGTGTTGTGGTTGTTTTGTGGTTGTGTTGTGGTTGTGTTGTGGTTGTGTTGTGATTGTGTTGTGGTTGTAATGTGGTTGTGTTGTGGTTGTGGTTGTGTTTTGTTTGTGTTTGTGTTGTGTTTTTGTTTGTTTTGTTCTGTTCCAAAGTTGGTATATTTTATAAAGATTTACCGTGGCGGAGCACGGGATGCAGCTAGTTAGAGTATATTCGGTTAGAGAGTATTAATCCTTGCAAACAAGACGCATTAATTTCTCAGACCAGCAGTTTAAAAAACCGACTGTACAATATTTTTTTCCGGCTAAAAGCACAGGTTTATTTTTGGAATAGGATCTCGCATTCCCTGGCAAGAATTATGTATACAAACGTTGGTCTAGGGCGAGTCTTTACTAAAAACAGTAAATGTCAAAACTTTGAAAAGCATTCGCCAAATAAACAAAGATCGATAATTTAGTGAGCTGGACTGAAAAAATCGGTTATGTGAACCTTATCTACAGACATTAATAACTATTTTCAGGCGTGTGTGTGCGTGTGTGTGTATGTGTGTTTGGTGTTTATGTTTTAACGTGAGGAAAGTGAGTATGCTTTTATATTGATTATACCTCAAGCTCCGAGCTTATATTGAGTGTTATCAGATGTAATTAGAATATTGACCGTGGACTTGGATATGGATGTAGGTCTATTGTAACTACATCAGTAGGAGGAGATAACCTATACAAGAGGTAAACATTGATCATATGATTATAGAGTCCACAGGGTTGACGCCACCAGGCAGTTACAAGATGTGGGGACGAACCCCTGATAAACGTCACTACGACTAGAAGTCTTCAGTGTAACGCGTCATTCGTGTAACATCTATGTAACATTACCCTGATATGATACGTCCTTGATATAACACGTCTTTGATACAACACGTCCCTGATATAACACATCACTGGTATAACACGTCCCTGATATAACACATCATTGATATAACACATACATGATAAAGTATGTCACTGGTATAGCACAACCATGATATAACACATCACAAATATAACACATCACAAATATAACACATCACTGATAAAATATATCAC